TTTTGTCAGCCAAGAGGCAAAATTGAGGGTATTAAGTAGCCATTTCAAATGCAGCATTGAAAAATACTCTTAAAAAACGTAAAAAACTATTCTTAGCTCATGGACTATACAAAAACAGGTGATGGCCAAGCTTTGTCAATCGTCCATGGTTTGCAGACTCTGATCTAACAGGAGTGAGAGCCATTTAAACAAAAGCTGGTATGTTTGGCAAAAGAGAGTGGAGGGGCAGAAAGAGATGAATATCCATTTAAATTGTGGGAGCATATATCGGAGGAGTGTCTGTCTCAGCGATTATGCAGTGGGGGCACATAAGCTGTGGTGGGGCGTGGGTCCCCAGTGCAGCTCATTTTACTTTCCATGAGACTACATGCAAGACTTTCTCACACACTGAGTGTGATTCCAGTCTTTAAAGATAACTAGTAATTTTTCCACAAATGGACCCACAACACAACTCAAGTAGCTCATCTGATGCTCAGTCGACAGAACAGAGACTGGACGCAGTCCCAGGACAAGGCCCCTGGGTGGGGTTGCATGGAGTTTGCAGACTAGGCCTCTCTTCTCAAGACATGCGATTCACCATTGCTATTAAATACAGAGGGCAAGCCCCTCTATCGTAGAACTACAGAAACACTGAATAGAAAGTCTGCTGGAAGGGTCCCACCACTGCCACCCAGTGCCCTGGTTGGTGCTCCGTCTCTCCCAGACCCACTGTACCTCTCTGGCCAGCTTCAGGGCAAGTTAACAGGTGACTTTGCTCGCTACCAGCACCGTAGGCTTTCTGACATCAGGAATGATTTCACAGATGCCTTTTAAATATCCGCATGATGTCCCTTTATAGAGGTGCAGCGTGATTTACTGCACTAGTGTCCTTTTGCCCGACAGGTGTTTGCGAAGTAGCTGACCTGTAACCAGCAAGATGGGGAGATTATGAGAGAAATGGGCACTAAGCACTAGGCCTGACTTCTGGTTCTGGAACTTAAGGAAGTTCCTGGTTTACCAGAAAGACGTGGTATCTTCCAAGGGGACCATGAGAAAATCAGCACACGACACCACGTCCATAGTGGCTTTCAGGGATCAGACAGTGGCAGAGATGGAAGGTACTCCACCTGCGCTACTCTCACTTTACAGAAAAGGAAGTGAAGGCCACGGGAAGGGTGGGTCTGATTCCAGATCATCCGGATTCCAGACATGACTTGTACTGGAACCTATCTTCGGACTGGACCCCGGAGCCCTCTCACGCTAGCTCTCCTTTTTACCTTTGTCCATCAGTCACTAGTTATTCACTGAAGACATATTTTATTGAGCACCGGGCCCTGGGCTTGGTGCTGGAGCTTTAAATCTTTAACTGCAAAAGAATGTGTAAGATTGGAACAAATGGTTGGCTTTGCAGATTTAAAACAAAAAAAGTGATGTCTCTCCTCCACGCAGATCTGGCCATTGCAAACCAGGTGGGTAGTTCTGAGCTCTGAGTAGTTCATACGCACACACACACACACACACACACACACGCACACGCACACATACGTGCACTCCCATGCATACCGTACATAAACACCTTTGGAGCATCAGGCTCTGCTGTGTGTTGTTCTGACTCCTGGAGAAGCAGGGGCTATGGAGACAAACCAGTTGGGGCTGGAATCCTGGCCCGCCCACCCTCCAGCTCTGTCCCCCAGGGTGCATGACCTGAGTATCCGATTCCTCATCTGTAAATTTGGGGTAAAAGCACCCCCTTCATAGTACTGCTGTATACCCTAAACTCAACCTTGTATGTTAAAGCATCAACTCTGTGCCTGCACACAGTAGGGCACTCTGTTCATGTGTCTCAAGAACATGGAACCAGGCAAGAAATAGTGCAGGGTAGTCAGGGCTGCAAGAGGGTGACCCCAGGGCCTGAGAGCAGTGAACCCATGGATGTTGGGGAGCCGTCCCAGAGGTGAGCCTGGGTGGAGAGGCTGGAGGGCGTGTCCGGACAAGGGCTCGGCATCCCTGCCCTCCGGGGCAGCAGGTGGAACCTGTCAGAAGTGATGGGCTCCGTCTCTTTCAGGTGCCCAGATAGATGACAACAATCCCAGACGCACTGGCCACCGCATCGTGGCGCCCCCCGGAGGCCGCTCCAACATCACCAGCCTCGGCTGAAGGCGGACGAGTGGATGGATGAGCTAGGAATAATGTCCATTCCTTTCCCTGTCAGGGTCTGGGAAACCCGCAGTTTAATTTGGTACTGATGGGGGGAAAATTGAATGATGTTCTTTCCTCTTTTGTTTAGGAAGAAGTGGTACTAGTGTGGTGTGTTTGCTTGGAAACTCCTTGCCCCACAGTTGTGTGTTCATGCCGACTCCACCTCAGAGCATGGGGTCTCCATTTCCCTCCTTAGTGAACACAGGTTCTAGCATCGTCTTGTACTGTCCCCTCCACTTCTGACTCCACAGGCTCCATGATTCTCGGGGTGGTTCCTTTGCACCCTTGTAGCTGTTCTAGGATAGTTGATGCATGTTACTGAATTATGTATGCAAGTCTGTGAGTGCATCTGACGGAACATCGCCGAGGACCAATGTAGACACAATGCCGAGACCTCAAGCCCTCAGGGGCAACTCCAAAACTCAATGCGAAGATGTTTACTCATTGCCCCCACCCCAGGTCCATGCTTAGAAGGCAGCCTGCCCCACCCCTCCCCACCCCACTCCCATTGAGAGAACCTTCTGTGAATTCTCAGAGGCAGGGGAGCCTTCCAGTGCTTGCAGAGAAGCATCATCCACGTCCTGTGTCAGAAACCCTGGTCTCCGTGGCACTTGTGACTTGCCATGACGTCTTCTGGTCTGTGTGTCCTTCCAGCCAGCTCCGACTTCGGGCCTAGCCAGGTTCACACTCAGAAAGGGGTCTCCCCACCCCCATCAGGGCTGACAACAGTGGGGTGACAGCTGCTCCCTGTTGCCCCACTCCTGGTCCCTTCGAGGTGGTTGACGGGGCAGTCAGATTTTTAAAGTTTTGTACAAAGTTTTCCTTTGTAATCACCCCCATTTTTACTTAACAACTGACTTATTGTGGCTCTTATTTCTGAATTCAAAGCTTGTGAAAAAATAAAGAAAATAAACAGCCTGCTGGCCCAACTTGAGTACTTTCATTTAAGGGTGGCTGCTTGGTGAGGTGCAAATGCTCAGCACTCTTCCTCGTAATGATTGGAGTTGCTTCCCAGGACTCACTCTCGGTAGACACTGGGGGAAGCAGGGGAGAAAGGAGAGGGAGCCAGTCATGAGGTGTGGAGTGTTGATCTCAGTCCCAGAGGTCATGGTGGGAAAAGTAGGTGGCTTCTATTTTTTATTTATTTATTTTATTTTATTTTTTATTTTTTATTTTTAAATTTTTTAAATTTTATTTATTTTATTATTTTATTTTATTTTATTTTTTCAATTTATTTTATTTTAATTTTTTATTTTATTTTATATTTTATTTTAGTAGGTGGCTTCTATAACATGGTTTGAAAGCACACGTCCATTCCCTCCTGCCTGGCCCATCCTTGGTGCACTGTCTTCTTGTAGGTTACAGTCTACCTCAGACTGAGAACTCCAACCTTCTAAACATCACATTTCTTCCCTCTGGTTCCAGGAGCAGATGCACATCATGAGGAGTAAAAACTCAAAGTTGCGTGTCCCAATTTGCCACTAGTAGTAGTGATAGTGGTGATGATGGTGATGTTGGTGGTCATGATGGTGGCGGATAATAATGGTGGTGATGGTGATGCTGACGATCTTGATGATGGTGGTGGAGGTGGTGATGATGGTGAGAATGATGGTGATGCTGGTGGTGGTGGTGGTGGTGATGATGATGATGGTGATGATGGTGGTGGAGGTGGTGGTGATGGCGGTGATGATGATGTAATGATGATAGTGGTGGTGATGAGGCAGGCAGTATCTGTGTGGTACTGGCTACATGTTAGGTGCTCTGTGATGTGGGCTCTATTACTATCCCCCTTTTAGAGATGAATCCTAGAGAGTTCAGTGACTTTTCCAAGATCACACAGTGAGGAAGAGGCCAATCCAGTATTTGAATCCAGGACTCTTGAAGTTGGCTCAAAGTCCAAAGTTCCTTTCTCCTGATGACTAAGTTTTCCTGTCACTCAAGGCAGGATGGCTGTGGATGGTTCTACATCTACTTAATTGTTTTAGTGTATTCTCCATCTGCCTGGTTGGGCTAAGACACCTTAAGGTCCAACATGGTGTTGGCTCACAGTCTGTCACGGACTTTCCTGAAACAAGGCTAAATACACGGAAAGGTCAGGAATGAACGATAAGGCCTTTAGATGTTTGGCTGTGGCTCATTCAGATTATTAAAGGGCAACACAGAAACTTCCAGAAGAGTAAAGGTGGCAGCAGTGTTACCCCACTCTCCGGAAAGCATTCCTCTTCTGCACCATCCCCTAACCCATCCGGGGTGCAAGCAGAAGCAGCCCTAACACCCTCTCTCTAAGACTGACTGGTGGAACTACTGCCTGGCTGCATAACCGACTGAGGTCACCAGCCCCCCACTGTCCCACGTGAGGTTCCCCAGCTTCTGTGACTTCCAAGAGTCACAGTCACCGGTCCTGGTGGTGCAAGACAGACAAATCTTAAGTTTTGGAAGCTGTGCCACAACATTCTTTGTAAGGCACATGCTTCTCTTTTGTGTCCTGAGATGGTAGCAAGAGGTAGGGAGTGTTTCTCGGAAAGCTTTAGCGGAAAGCTATCTCTTCTCGCATCCATCTATCTACACCTGTGCTTGTCCTTTACCACGTCATAGTCTAGTCCCAGGTTCCAGGAATTAGGATGTAGACATCTTGGGTGGAGGGGCATTTTTCTATCCACAAGTCTTCTAAGTCTCCTTCCAGAAACTTTTTATCTTGCCACATTCAGGTATATGATCCATATTTCTCTAATCTTTGTGTTTAAGGAAAGGGAAGGCTCAAGACTCACTTCTTCTTATATAATATCCAGATGACCCAGCACCATTTATTGAAAACACCATCATTTCCTCGTTAGGGCTGCAGCGATGGCTTTATTGTAAATCAGGCGATCATAGCATATGAGTCTTTGGTCCCGAGGTACCCTGCAAAATGAATACTAAACCCTGGGCTGGGCTGGACTGAGTGTAGCCAGCTTCAAACTACCACCATGAAGCTAGTGAGCTTATAACTCATAGTTTAAGTGGGCTCTGGTGTCCCAGTAAGGGCTGGCCTGACCCCGCTATATCCGTTGGCCTATTTTTGCACCAGTATCTCATTTTGACTCTAAAACATAAGACTACAGCCAAGGTCTCCCCATCCATGTAAAGCCCCAGCCATTTTCTGCTACCCTCTGCACTGCCTGGCGTATTCTGGCCCCAGAGTCCGTGTGGCCACTTGGTTAAGGTGAGTGGACCAGAGAAGGCTGCTCCCAAGGCCTGTCAGACCTCTGCACACCCGGGGGTTGTTCTTTGGATCAAAGTGCATGTGGTCATGACTCTGCAGCACAAGGCGTGAGTCCTGATGATGCACATTTGCAGTGTCACTGGCCCTGCGTTTCTCTCCCATGACATCAACTTCTGGAGCAGAGGCGCAAGAAGAGTATTCTGAACTAAAAGGACTTTTACCAAATTGAAGTTTCCTTCCCCATTCCCCTCTTCCTTTCTTTTCCTTCCCACCAAGTGACTGGATTGCCAGACACTGTGCTCATCAGAGGGGATGCGAGGGAAATGCATTCCGGGGGAAGGTCAGGTATGAAATTATTACCCCAAACATCTAACTGCGCACTTTGCCCACTCCCAGGAAGAGTAGCAGAAGCGTATCGCCAGCTCCTGGTGTTCCCACACAGGGAGGGGCGCCCACTCTCTTGGGGGGAGGAAGGTACAGGGGCTCTCCTGGCCTTTCTCACTCCTTCCCCAGAGAAGGAGATGCACCTGCTTGCTCTGGGAAGAAGGAAATGAGTGTGCCAAGTGGTGCCTTTTGCTGTCTCCAAGGAGATGATGGACCTCAGGACACACACTACTCCTTGGACGCGGTTTACCATGAAGTCAGTGATGTATGCACAGACCCCTCCCCAGCCCCGGGGGTGGGCTTGGCGATATCTCCAGTCATAGTTTCTGTACAGTTTCCACAGCCAGAGGTTTGAACTGCACATCCCTGAGGATCAGGTGACAGTGGGGAGGCTGTGGGCATTTCCAGGGTCAGGTGAGGGCAGGTTGACTGGGGTTCGGTGGGCCTGTTTCTGTGTGCAGCTGAGGTAACGCTGGCTGGCCCGGCACAAATGGCTGCTGCTGTGCCACCTCTCCTGCATCACGACACAGAGCCTGTAGTCCCGTGGCACCCGGCACCAGAAGCTGTGTGGCACAAGGGGAGGGATGGAGGTCCACAATCTCCCAGCTGTCACATGTGTTGAATTTCGAGAAGGGGGGAAACATTAGAACTAAGTGGACTGCAGAGGGGATTAGGCCATCCGCTGATTTACAAAATTATTTTACTTTCGGATTTGTGATTTTGTGGAATTCATCAGGCTTTTAAAAAATGTATCACTCATCCTCATCTCCTTCCTCATTCTGAATATTCACTCTCATCCCCCCTGTAGTTTCATTTGCTTTTCATGCTCTTCTCCCCCAAATGTACAGATTCCAGCAGCCCCGCCCCAGATCTGGGTCTCTCTGCTCTTCTGATCTTGCCATGTTTCGGGGTTGTTCCCATGGCAGAGGCTTGTGTCTGGAGCCATGTGTGTGGCCAGGTAGGAAGAGAACGAGCCTTTGTGGCCTCAGGGTCAATCGCAGCCCTCCAACGTGGCTCCATCAGATACCAAGCCCGGGTGCCCATCTCCCCGACTGCTCTGCCAATGTCCCAACTGGTTCCAAATGTGCATGGGAAATAAAGGCATGTTAATTAAGCGGCAAAATACAGGGTGCTAAGAGCCTAAGGGGAGGCTCTGATCTTGTCTGAGGGCCGCGGGGAAGGCTCCTGACAGGAGTCCTGCTGCTGAGGTGTGGGTGAGGTTTATGGGCTCGTGAGGCAGCGACGAGGGGTGGGGGTAGGGCGGTTCCAGGGGGGCAGCGGGAATGTCTTATGCAAAAGCCCAGTGGCGGGGGGGAGGGGCAGGCACACAGGAGGCCGCGAGTGGAGACTGGCTGGGTGAGGGCGAGGGCATTGCGGGCCCAGGCTCTGGGACCCCCGGGGCAGGTTCACAAGCACAGCACGCCCAGCGCAGGGGTGTGGACACATCGCGGCCCACCTCCTCCATCCATCCCATCTGGGTGGTGGGTAGTCACGGAGGTGGACCGGGAGGGAACGGCGGTCCATGTAATTTTGCCTTTTCTCCTGAGAGCAAAGAATACCGCCGAAGCGCCCCAGCCAGAGGGCTCTGGGCCGTGTGGGCCGGGCAGGGGAGGTGGGGCAGGGCAGCAGGCCGGGCCGGGCGGTTAGGGGGGTCCTGCAGCAGCAGCAGCCTCTAGATCAGCACCGAGGGAGGGTCAGGACAGACCCCGGGCGGCCAGAGGGGGCCACAGAGTCTACGGCTTCCTCCTTGCTGAGCTCAGGCTGCACGGGCGGTGCGCGTGACAGAATGAATTCGTGAATTCATCCGCCGTCCCCTCCTGGTCCACCTCCCTCCACCTCCGTGACACCCCATAACACAGCCTGTAACACGGCCGGGACAGGAATGGATGGGGGGGCGGTGGGCCGCGATGCGTCCACCTGCCCTGCACTGGGCGTGCTGTGCTTGCCAACCCCGCCCGGGCATCCCAGAGCCTGGGCCAGACGCCGCAGAGAGTCCCGTGGCTTCTGGCGTCCACGCTGGCTTCCGACCGGGAGGCAGTTGCATGATGGAAGGCACCTCCACGCTCCCGCCGGGAGCCCCAAGAGTCCATCGCAGACAGTTCACTGTGCCCAGACTGTGCCGAGCACACGGCTGCACAGCAGGGCTGAAGGAGGGCCCGGCGTGTGACACAGTCCCTTGGGCTAGGAGGCCACGCTCCAGGAGCAAAACCATCTTCACGCAAGAGCTGCGGAAGCTGAGCTGCCTTCTATCCCGCAGAGAGGCTGGTACCGCCAGGGGTCTGCATTTCCCAAGTTCAAGTCACCGGATCAGACACTCACTCCCGGCTCCAGGATGCCCCTGTGAGGGGACCCATGGGACAAAAGCGGTTTCTGTGTCAACCAGGTTCTCAAAATAGGGCAAGAAGGAACCCACAGCTTGTCAGCAGACCCGGCATAGTGACGGAATGCTTTATTTAGCCACGAGAGGGGGCTGCTGGCCAACTCTGGAAATTCCGCAGCTGCTGGGTCAGGACCTGATGCTCTGACAGGAAGCATCCTTAACGCGCCAGGTAACCGTCGCGGATGACTTCTTCTGTCCCAGAGCCACGCTCTCCTAATAGTGTTATTTAGATTTTAAGAAATAAAAATTCAAGCCACAGACGGGCCAGGAAATCCCCGTGACAGGGGTTCCTGGAGCCCGGCGCCCACTGCATTCTGGAAATCTGTGGAATCACAGAGCCCTCTGTCCAGACTTGCTGGGAGCCGACACACTTTGACTCAGGTCAGTGAGTGATGCCCCCAGGGGGACCTCTGGCCACGTCTGGAGACACCTTTAGTTGCCACACCTGGGGGGGTGCTCCTGGAATCTGCTGGTTCAGGGTTGCTGCTAAACATCCCACGACGCACAGAACAGCTCCTGCCCCCAAACGAGGAATGATCTCACCCAAAGTGTCCATGGTGCAGAGGGTGAGAATCTCTGATTTCAATGGAAATAATAATTTTCTGTCCAGGTGGGAAAGGCCTCTCCTAGCTGTGGTTTAAATATGGCCAGTCTGGAAGGTTCTGGATTCTCTCCCTGACCAGGCGAGCAGCAGAGCCCCCTGGGGAACAGGTCTCCTGGTGGTGAACTGCTGTCCCCTCCCGGGGGAAGGCCCCACTGCAGGTGTCACTATGCATCCGTGGGGCCTCAGGACCCCAGTGGGGGTGATGTAGGCCTGCAGGCCAGTGATTCCATGGTCTGTGTCAGGGTCACAGGGCCCTGAGACTCACCCCCCAAAGTGACCGGGAGTTAGCTGCTGGCTGAGCCAAGGGGGAATGGATCCAGATGAGTGGCCAGGTGCATGGGACATGGCACACAGGACAGAGAGCACGAGGTGACAGAAATAAATGGTGAAGAGGCTTCAGGCTGGAAGACCCCAGCCCTCCAGAGACCCCTGCACTCCCAGCAGAACTCCTCGGAGCGTCCGGGGTACAGGGGGGCCCTGGGCTGGTGTGAGTCGGCCTCACGCTGGGCAGGCAGCTTTGGGGGGCAGCAGGACACGGTGGGGTGGACGGCTTAGGCAGCCAGAGGAAGAGGTCGCTGAGGAAGGGAGCCACGTCTGGAAGCCAGAGAGGGAGAGAAGCGCACACAGGTGTTCCACAGGGGCTTCTAATTCACAGGCGGTAGGGTCCACCTTTCTCATTGAGGCTTTGTCAGGTACTGTCCAGCCGTCTCCATCCAGCCGCCTCACAGTGAGCCTGGGAGGCAGAGGGGGACCCCCGTCCCCCCGGTGGCCCTCACCATCTCACCCGGGTGGGGCGGGCAGGCGGCCTGCAGGCCAGGTCCTCCGCTTTGGCCCCGATCCCTGAAAACTACAAATTGGTTTTCTCCCTTAGCAGCTTCTTGGGGCTCTCGCCGTCACCAGCTTCATTTTCTTGCTGGTTCAGCCTTCTGCTGTTTAAGACATGGAAGCAAAGCAAGCAGCGGTCAGAACTCGGATTCCAGATCTGTCGGAGGCAAAACTCACCCAGTCACATCAGAGGAAGAGGCAGTGACAGGTGATCTAAACCAGTTTCCTTCGACCGGGGTTGTGAGGAGACAAGCACAGCTCCCAGCTTCCCTCTGCTTGGTGGGGGGCTCACCTGAGGGCCACAGGGAAAGGAAGACCCGCCCCCACTCAGATGACTGGGTGCCCAGGCCACATTTACCGTACAGCAAATCCCAAGGCAACTGTGGCCCGTGAGGGCCTGGCGTGGGGGGGGGGGGTGACTGCCAAGCCATACAGGCTGGGTGCTGGTGGGACGTGGAGCTAGGCTGTGGCCTGACCCAGCCAAATCGGACACGAATAATGACAAGGGTACCAACACCCCCCACCTTCGCCTATCATTTCTGGGACCCTCTGGCTAACACCTCTGAGAAAGGAGCCCGTTTTCCTGCTTTGGGTGGTCAGTAAGCATCCACAGGCAGTACGCCAGGGCCCCCGCTGTACCTGAGTGATCCCGAGGGGTGGGCCCCCAAGGCAGGGTCATCGTCGGTGGGCTCCCCAGGGTCCCCTCTCTCCCGGGGTGGGGGCTTCTTTCTTCTCGTCCTTACGGGCTTCTCTGCGGAAGATGCAGAAAGCCAGGCATTGGCTCTGTGACCCCAGCACATGACTGCTGGCACTTTCTGGGTACTCTCTGGGCATTTTCTGGGTACCTCTGTGGCCAGGCAGCCAGGCACTTTCTGGGTACCTCTGCGGTCAAGTATGCTCTTATACCCATTGAACTTGTAGGGAAACTGAGGCCGGGAGTGAGGCGCTTTCCCAAGGCCCCACAGCCATTAAACGGCAGAGCTGGGACAGGAGCCCAGGGCTGTCAGGCTCCCGCTGTTTCAGCCACACTGAGCTGACCTGAACATTGGAGAACACAGCACCTGTACGGTAGCCTTTGTTTTAGCACACCCCTGTGTTCTTAGGCACCTCCCCGCTCTTCCCCGTGAGCACACTACACCTGTGAAATCCCTGAAGTTGCTATGGGCAACCAGATAATTCGTGGAGGGGGAATCATTCCCATCTTATGGACGGGGACACAGAGACTCAGCTGGTGAGCTGCAGACCTAAGAATCGAAAGTGCTGGATGGTGGGGAGCCGGGGGCCCAAGCGCCACCCTAACCGAGCCGCTCATTCACAGACAAGCACAACACAGATACACACATGGTGAGTGGCAGACACGGGACTAGAATCCACATTCCCAGCCTGGAGAGCCTCCCGCCATGCTCACACCCCCCCATGACTTACCTGACACTCCACGCTTACTTGGCAATGGTCTGCTTTGGGCAAGGGGCACCCGGGCCAGCGCTGCCAGCTCAGACATGAAGCTCTGCTCGGCCTCCTGAAGGCAAGGAGGCGGGTTCATCGGGGTGTCCTCAGCCCAGTCCCGCCTCCCCGCCACAGCGAGGCTGGCGCTCCCGAGGGTGGCTGACGGGGCTGTGTCCTGGGGTGCAGACAGGTCTCCCAGCAGCACCCCAGAGGCGGCAGGAGTGAGGCAGATGCATGTGCAAGGGAGGGAGCTGGCGTGTTCCAGCTCCTGCCAGAGAACTGTCCATCCTCACTCACGCCAGCCAGGGACCACCCCCCCCTTTTACAGATGAGAACATTGAAGTGAGGGCCCAGTGAGGGCCCGGTGAGGGCCACAGAGGGGGAGCAGCAGAGCCGGGGTCGAACCTGCTTCTGCCCGCTTCCAGAGCCTGAGTTCTTAACTGCCGACACTGTGGTTTAACCACAGACCTGGCTTCCGTGATTTATTAACTGTGATGCTAGATGGTGACCTAACCTCTCAGAGCCTCAGTGTCCCCATCTGTAACTGGAACACAGCAGTGACCCCATCCTCTATCGGAGGATGACATCAGATGGTTTATGTACCACTCCCGGCTCAGTGACAGGTCCTCGGTTACTAGGGGTTAACCACCATTGCTGTCGTTTTTTGCGTGACGCACTGGGGGTAAATACCCTGAAAGACCCAATGCTGTTAAGTGCTTCCATTCTGGAATTTTTTTTTTTTTTTGAGAGAGGGAGAGACAGTGAGCGAGCACATGCCTGCACATGCATGCGAGTGAGGGAGGGGCAGAGGGAGAGAGAGGATCTTAAGCTGGCTCCACGCTCAGTTTGGAGCCCGACACCAGGCTCCATCCCACTACCCTGAGATCACGACCTGAGCCAAAACCAGGTGTTGGATACCTAACCGACTGAGCCACCCAGGCACCCTAATATTTGATTTTTTTTTTTTAAAGGCAGCCACTTTGCTTTATTGCCACACTTTATAATCTCACACTGATGAGACTTCCCTGTGATGAAGCAACCATTTATTTCGAGAGGGCTGAGCCCTCTGTATGTCCTAGATAAAGAGCATCACCGCCTACGTGACACTGACAGGCCCATGTGGTGGCCATCCACGCACACAGAGGAGCTCACTTCTCCAGCGCCACAGACATGAGCCAATGAGTGCTCCGGGCCTGGCCCCGGGCTGGGCGCTGCAGACACTCTGGGGAGACAACGTGGCCCTGCTGACCCCCAGGCTCACGGTCAAGCCATCCGCCCATGATGACCTCACTGAGCCAGGGCTGAGGTCTCTCTGCTGACCTGTGATCATGAGAGTGGCCTCTTGCTATTCCCATTCCTCTTTAAACCTCTGCCCACATGGTGAAGGCACTTTTCTGATACTTGTACCTGCAGTTGGGTCTCAAGCTGGGCTTCCAGGTGATCCATAGCCCTCGCCTTCTGCTTCCAAGCATCCAGGCGGATCTGCTGGTGCGCGGTGAACTGGGCCAGAAACTTCTTCTGCTGTGCCACCATCCTGGCAGAAGGAGCAAAGGCCATCAGCTGCCCTTGGCAGCCGGTTAATCAGAGGCCCAGCACAACGGTTTCCCAGGGGCCTGCTGAGTCATGGGAGTTGGTGGCCAGCAGCTGCCCTTGGGCCCTCAGAGCCATGAGACAAGAGTGGCCTTTGTTGGCACGATTTATGGGAGCAGCTCAGAGGGGTGGGGGCATCCCTGGGGTCCCGCGGCTGCCAAGTGACTGGACAGCAAGTGGCATCTTCATATGAGAAAATAATCTGAACCCAGGGGCAGGGGGACATGCTCCTGAGGACCAGAGGTCTCCCTAGCTACCCATCCATCCTGAAAACCTAAAACAGAAGGTTCATGTCCAAGCAGGCATCTGACAAATCCCAAATATGGGAGCACCCCTCCCCTGCTCCCCCCACCCGAGGCTTCTGTGTGGCAGTGCTCTGAGCAGAGGCAGCAGCCGGGCCCCTGACACCCAGGCAGCCCTCCTGGCTTTCAGGGGCAGAGACCCCTCCCCTCCGGCTCTGAATCACTCCCTTCCTGGGCTGACCTTCCTCTGACCCTCAGCAAACAGGAACATTCCACCCCACCCTCCTGGTTTGCATAACAGCTCTCTGCTTTTTGCTTTCTGACCTTTTTTGTTTTGTATTTAAAGTAGATTCCACGCCCCGTGGAGAACCCAGCACAGGGCTTGGAACTCTCTACCCTAGATCAAGAGCCCGATGCTTAATGGACCGAGCCACCCAGGCTTTTATTCTTTTAGACCTTTTTTTTTTTTAAAGTATTTTCTTTCTTTCTTTCTTTCTTTCTTTCTTTCTTTCTTTCTTTCTTTCTTTCTTTCTTTCTTTCTATTTATTTATTTTTGTAATAATAAATTTATTTTTTATTGGTGTTCAATTTGCCAACATACAGAATAACACCCAGTGCTCATCCCGTCAAGTGCCCCCCTCAGTGCCTGCCACCCAGTCACCCCCACCCCCCACCCTCCTCCCCTTCCACCACCCCTAGTTCGTTTCCCAGAGTTAGGAGTCTTCCATGTTCTGTCTCCCTTTCTGATATTTCCTACCCATTTCTTCTCCTTTCCCCTCTATTCCCTTTTTATTTATATTCCCCAAATGAATGAGAACATACACTGTTTGTCCTTCTCTGATTGACTTACTTCACTCAGCATAATACCCTCCAGTTCCATCCATGTTGAAGCAAATGGTGGGTATTTGTCGTTTCTAATGGCTGAGCAATATTCCATTGTATACATAGACCACATCTTCTTTATCCATTCATATTTCGATGGACACTGAGGCTCCCTCCCCAGTTTGGCTATTGTGGACATTGCTGCTAGAAACATCGGGGTGCAGGTGTCCCGGCGTTTCATTGCATCTGAATCTTTGGGGTAATCCCCAGCAGTGCAATTGCTGGGTCGTAGGGCAGGTCTATTTTTAACTCTTTGAGGAACCTCCACACAGTTTTCCAGAGTGGCTGAACCATTTCTTTCAGACCTTTTGTGACTGCTTTTCTCAAAGGGCTAACTGTCTGGACCTGAAGACAGAAGCGGTTTCTGGCCTTGGCAGGTAGGCAGGTAGCTGTTCGGGGAGTTTGCCCAAAGGCACAACATTGCACCTGGCTTTTGCTTCATGCTCTTCTGTCCCCCAGTAATCTCTTTCCCCTCTTCTTTGTATTGGCCTGGTGAGCTCCTACTCATCCTACCAGACCCCATCATTAATCCACCCATCCACTCCTTCACTTATACAGAGAGACACCTCAGGCCTGCCAGGTAGATACAGGTGCCAATATGAGACTCACGGTCCCTGAGTGCACAAAGCTGCATGGTGTGAGCTGGGGCTGGGGGGGAAATGTCGTTGGAAGAGCAGAGGTCGGTGCCCTGCGGGACAGCCTCTCCCCTCTCCCACACCCTCAAGGGAGCTGCGTTAATTTCCCGCGGGCTGCTCTGACACATGGCCACAAGCTGAAGCGGGCGACTTAACACAAGTGAAGTCTCTTCTCTCACGGCAATGGTGGCCAGAAGGGCTCCCTCCAAAGGTTCTAGAGGGGAGCCCCTTCCCTGCCTCTCCCCTCTCCCTCTCCCGGTGGCTGCTGGGGTTCCTTGGCTGGTGTCTGCTGCATCCCAATCTCCGCCTCCGTCTTCACATGGTCCTCTCTGTGAGTGATCGAGTCTCCCTCTATCCCACCTGCCATTGGATTCAGGGCCCGCTGGGACGATCCAGGATGATCTTGTCTCGAGATCTTTCACTTAATGGCATCTGCAGAGATCTTCCTTCCAAATAGGTCGCATGCACAGGCTCCACGGATTAGGACACGGACCCTCTCTTGGGGGCCCCCATGCAGAGGCTTAGGTAGCTTTTTGCTGGGAGCAGCCCACCCTGTGCCCATCTGCCAACAGCCTGTGGACTGGGCTAACGGGAATGGCCGGCGGTGACAGTACTACACAGGGAGGGGTCAGGGTGGGGCTTCACCCTGCGAGGCCCAGGGAGCCATGGAAGGGCCCAGGAGAGACCCAGGCTCAGCTGCCTCATGGTTATGGGGTGCCCGGGCTGTGGAGCGGACAGCAGGACGAGACAGGAGGCCAGAGGCCACAGCTCTCAGCCAGGAGGGGAGTGGCGAGGACGTGAGACAAGACAGTGGCCGAGAGAGGAGCCATGCTCTGGACAATCCTGCCCGAAGGGGGACAGCTGCATGTACCCTGGCTCCAGAGCACGAGCACCCTCAGCACTGCTGATCCTCCAGCACCTTCTGGAAGAAGGGAATGCCCTGGCTGTAGGCCTGGCGGAGGGTCTGAGGCACCTAGACAGGCATGCAAGCTCCTAAACCTCTTAGACTCATACTTGATTATGGAAATGGATACTGAAAAGACATCCCTTCTGAAAGAGTTCTGGTCGCAGAGCTGTTTCGATCTCTAGTGGCACCGTGCACAGTGCAGAAGGCACAGCTGTGACGACTCTGCCGGTGGTGAGGGACTTCAGGGCACGGGCCCTATGCCCCCTCGCCGTGGGCGCTGCTCGCTCTATGTGTGCTCTCTGACCGTAACATGTCTGTGAGGCAGGAGCTACTGCAACCTCACGTCACAGACGGGGAGCCTGAGGTTCAGGGCAGGAGGGGACCTGGCCAGCGTGTGGCTGTTGGAAGGGGCCATCCCACCAGTGTCGCTGGCACCCGAGACAGGCTCTCCCACAATCCCATGGCTCGCCAGAGATGCCATTTGGAATTTGCCTGTGGACTGACAATTGCTTCATGGGCTTATTCTTGTTGCTGCTCCTTTTAATCAATTATCTGTTGTCACGACACAGCTCGGTCCCTGGGTGTTCTGGCCGACTTTCTCTGTGAGTTCGGGAAAGACGGGAAGGGCACCAATGGCCACAGATGAGCCTCTAAGTCACAGTGAGATTCAGTCACCCGCATCCCCACTGGGCCCTGCTTCCATCTTCCACAAACCTGGCGGAGGTTGGGCTGGGGGTGGCTGAGGCTCCTCTTCCTGGGTCACTGGGGTCAAAGTACGGCCCTTGAACTACATCCATCAGAATCCCGGGAGAGGAGTGTGTTAACAACTGAGGTTCCTGGGTACCCTTCAAAGCCTCTGAGTCTGACTGTCCAGGTGTGGGGCCAGGGATCTGCATGTTCTCCAGTGGGAGACCCAAGTGAGCTGATGTTCCCTGCACCTGAGAACTGCCGGCCTATAGTTCAATGGAGATACAACTATTGATCATGCCTTGCAAACCCATGGCAGGACCACAGCTAATGGAGATTTATGGAGAAGGGATGGAGGGTGCAGTCTGACCGAGGGGATGGCCCTGTGGTTCTTGTTTCCTTAACAGTTGTCAGATGTGGGGCTGGGATTTCCTGTGGGGCATGGCACAGAGCCCACACTGCCATCGTGCAGGGCTGTGGTCGTCCTGCTGCTGCTCTGTCAAGACAAGGGACCTGCATCCCCAACCCGTCATCCTGCAGGGCCTCTCCCCTCCCCCAGCAGAGTACCTGTGCCCATTTCTTGCTGTTTACCTGCCTGTCTCCCCCTTCAGACTGTGAGCTCGGGGGTGACAGGTGTTGTCCCCAGGGGCTAGCTCAGGGCGTAGGAAGAGTAGATGCTTACAGGGTCATGTGGGTACAGCATCCACACCCCTAGATCACCGAGTGCTTGTCTGCCCTTTGGCTTCTTACGTCGAGCACCTGGGTCTATGCCTCATGGCTTTCTCTAGCCCCAGGAGTGTGTTTGGCCAGCTCAGGGGTGGGCTGGAGGGCTGGTGGTCTAACACCTCCAGGGAGGACCTTCAACCAATGTGGAGCAGGTGTTGGTAGACACGTCCTTATTTTCTGCATCCCTTGCTGGCATAATTGGAAGTAGAATTGTACACAGTCTCTCAGAAGGTCCAGGGTGGGATTGGGCCTCAGGTGCTGTGGAAACACCTCATTGCCCTGGGGTTTGTTTGCTTTTTTCCTGTTGTGGTAGGCCACACAGTGCCGAGAGGCGTCCCTCATGCCTGGAACCCATGAAGATGTTACATTCCATGGCAATCAGGTCTTTGCAGGCTTGATCAGAGTCACCAACTTTAAGACTTGGAGATTGTCCTGGATTATTTGGGTGGGTCTTAATCACAGGAATGCTACAAGCAGAGCAGTTTCTCTAACTGGAGCCAGAGAGATGTAGCAGGAGAGGAAGGCAGAGGATTTCCAAGCACCATAGAGGCCGTGAGCAAGGACCAGAGACAGGCCTCTAGGAGGAAGGGGTGGCCACCAACTGACAGCCACCACGCAGCGGGACCTCAGTTCTACCAGGAACTAGACAGAACCGACAGCCTGAGCAAGCCTGAAAAGATTCTTCCCAGAGCCTAGACAAGAGCCCAGCCAGCTGGCACCCTGATTTAGGCCGTATGAGGCCCAGAAAACCCAGCAGCACCTGCCAGGGCCTCTGAGCTACAGAGCCGTGTGGTTTGTAGCTGGCTGTGGTTACGCCGCAGTGCGAGACACCCATGGGCCTCGCATCCCTTGCCCTCACTGTGCTTCCTGGGGTTACCTCCAGAGTAAACAGCCTGACCCCCATTGTCGAGGGACCCCACCACCATCTGAACTCACTCATTCCCTCGTGCCAGGCCCCTTCTAGGGGCCGTGTGTCCAGCAGGAAGCCAGACAGAGACACATGCCATCAGATGCTGAGTGTGCAGCAGAGACGTCAGAAGAGGAGAGCTCACCTCTGGTGGACAGCCTCGCAGGCTTCGCCAGCTCCACCTGCCATCTGGCTCCTGGATGAAGGCTCCCCGAGTCCCTGCTTTGTCCGCAGCTTGTAATTCTCTGCTCTCTCACCTAAACCATTCAGCACACAAGATATCAGGGGGATGCCTGGGGATAGCCTCTGTGCCAGGTTTGGAGAGGGGCTGGGGCTCAGAGGTCAGTGGGGCACCTGACCTCAGAGTGTGCGGTTTACCCAGCACCCATGCTTCCCTGGGAGAGGCTCCATGTGCATGAGAAAGCTCAGCTTCCATCATAGACCTTGTGCCCAAGAGGAATATGACCCCTGCTCTCCCTGCAACTGCTCAGCCCCTCCTTTCTTTTAAGCACCAGGAGCTAGGGTGGCAAATACGGAAGACTTAGCATAAAGGGGCCACCACAAATAAAATGCACACTGAAAAGGAGAAAGGATTCGATGGACAGAGCTGCTGGTGTGCAGCCAGCCTCACGCATGTGAGTGCTCTCTGAGGGCCGAGGCAGTCTGGCCTCTGAGTCCGAGGTGCATGGACTGCATATCAGGTCATACTTCCACTGACCCAGCTGTGAGATGGCCAGCAGGCCACCAACCCCGCTGGACCTGAGCCTTCTAGAACACAGAGAGAAGTTTAAATGGATGGTCTCTAACCTGGATGATCTCTAGGGATGTCACATTCTCTAGCTCTTCAATTACTGAGTGAGGCAAAAGTTGCTCAATTAAGTTCTATCATTTCAATGCATTTACTGAAAAAGTCCTCCCATTAGAGCTGGGGTATCAAGGAAGCAGGAAATCAGAGCTGAGACGATGTGTAGAGGGCGAACCCTACCCCACAGATGGGGAAACCGAGACCTACAGGGGAAATGAACACCCTGGCTCCTGGACACTCTGCAGTGACTATCTCGTCTGTCTCCTGCTGGCCTCACCCAACCCTTCCTTTGGAAAACGATGATGTGTCTATCACTGCCAAGCTGATTTCCAGGCAGGTGCCCAGATTTTACTTGAGTCTAGGAACCAGATTCCTCACAACAAGGGGAAGACATGTGGCTGAGCCCACAGAGGGAATGAATATTCCCAGAAGACCACTCCCAGGACCTGCTGCCCATCGTTGGTCTAGGGGTCGATCCCAACACTGATTCCTGGGCAACTGAGGCAAAACCCATCTGAGACAGTGGGTTTCTACCCTGAAGCCAGGATGAGGAGGGACCATTACAAGCAGAGGCCCTGAGGAAACTGGCTTTTGTCTATTATTTTAGGCATATTACTGGTGGCCTTGGGGATACCATCCATTTCGTCACCTGGGTGGCCTCTTATGAGAGCCCATGGGGGAATTCTCTGGGTCTCAGGAACACCGTAGGGGCCACTGGCCTGTTGTCACTTGCTGTCACTACACAACTCTGATGGATGAGGTTCCCATCTCTCTGGCCACCAGTAAGCCCAGCGCCAAAATCTTGTCATGCTAGGGAAGGATCTGATGGCCTATGTCCTAGATCACGACCTCACTGGGACTCCCTCCCACCGTCCCGTCGTCCCGGTTCATCTGCTTTTGAATAATTCTATTGTACCACGTGTATAGCTCTTTAAATAGCTTTTTAAAAAGCCCCTTTTAGGGGGCAAAGTAGGAAAGAAAGAAAATGAAACAAAATGAAATTCCCTTAAATAACATTTGAAAAAGATGACATGCCATCGTGTGTCCCAAACTCAGCGCATGTGTGGCCCGCGGCCTGCGGGCTTCCCTGAGGAGGGGGCCGTACCCTGCAGGGCCTTCAGATGCTCCAGTTTCCTCTCCTCGTGGTCCTGCATGACCCTCCCGATCTGCTGGGAATATGCTTGCATGAGCCTGCTGACTCCAGCGCTGGTCACGTAGACGCTCTCCACAGCTGCCTCCATCAGTGTCCTCTGTGGCAGGAGGAGAAAGACTCAGCAAAGAAGTCACAGGGGGTCCCCTGCCTCCCCTCGTCCTGCTTCTTAGCTTCCACCACTCCCAACCTTGACTGGCCGGGTAGCAGACAGGGCGTGTGCTTGGCTTACACAGTCTCAGTGATCTTATTTCCATGGTCAGGGGTGGCGTGAGGCTGGCTGTATGACCCAGTTCTGGCCAATGGGACCCAATGTTAGGAAGAGACCACTGGGGGACCTTCCCTTCACGAACATTAAGGCAAAGCTTAGTGTAGGGGGAAGGTTTTTCTGTTTTCTTCTTCCTGCCTGGAACGCAGATCTGATGTCTGGAGGGGCAGTGGCCCCATTTTGAGACTATGAGGCAGAGAACTAACACCAAGAACGGTGGATTGGAAAGATAGAGCTGGTCCTTGGTCAGTCACGTTGCAGAGCCTCTGTGCCAGTCTGGAACCACCGACCTCCACATTACTTGTTACGTGGGATGAAGAACTTCTATTTACTTGCCATTTTGGCATGTCTTTGTTCCCAGCAGCAGTATACATTCTTTTTTTTTTTTTTTAGCAGTATACATTCTTAAGTGATATGCCTTCAGCCCAAAGTGGAGAGGAAATGCTGAGACACCCCATCATCGGGGACGTGTTGGCTATGCACCGGCAAAGTCACCCACCTTTACTTTAAGATGATGGGCAAAAGTCAGAAAAGGTCAGACTCAAGAGTCCTCATTTCAACAAATGTTTTTCTAATGGTTCCAGACTTTGGACAAGGAAAAAAAACAACCCATTTATTATTAGGCAGTTCCTACCTGCTGCGTGGTTGGTTATGCTATACAGTTTCTAGAGCTGTGCTGTCCACATCTTGTTACAGCACCTCCTGAGAGACTCTGCAGGTGTGCAGAGAGGCTGTGGAGGTGAAGAGGGTCGGGAAGCCTCACCGAGGGACTCTGACTCCACTCCTCCAAGGACCCTGGACCTGACCTTGCGTTTTCTGCCACTGAGGCTGTGGCCTGCCTGCACTTTGATTTAGGACACAGTTAGAACCCCCAGGAGACAGGAAGTCCCTCTTCCTCCCACGTCAGCCAGAGGACCCACTTGCAGCACCAGGCCTTCTGCTGCCTGTCTTCCTGCCACAGGGAGGCGCTGTCTGCCCCCCTCTGTGACCTGCCCCCTCTCCTGGTAGCTGGTAGATCCCATGGAGGGGAGATGTTGCCCGCCTGCATCACTGGCCCAGGGTCTGCCACAGGGCTTGGGGCCAAGAAGCTCCATGACTGGAGCTTGAATAAATGAACCTTCTTCCAGAAACTGAACACCTGTTCTTTCCTGTAGGGGTGTGTGTGTGTGGGGGGGGGGTATGGGGCACACTCCCACCCTATCCTGACTCAGAGTCCCTCTGGGAAGGGACCCCAGGTTTACACTTCATTCCATTTTCATGTTGTGAGCACTTATCAGGTAAAAGCTGTAGAATTTTAGGGAAAGGAAGTGACTCTCCCAATGTCACCAACTTGGCCCTGAGGTCTGGATGACATGCCGCAGACGTGCGATATTTGGGACAAGATGGGGCATCCCGGCAATGTGTGTCCAACTTCTTGGCCGTGCGTATAAGTGATTTTATTTGAATGAACAGGGTTGGGAAAGAAGTCCCGCAGCGTCCGGCGCACGGCAACGCCAGTCGCTGCTAGCTTCAGCTCTGCCTCACCTACGCGCGAGCTGGCCATGTACACTCTCTGCAGACTTCTGCAAAAGCGGAGGCGTCTCGCCTTTCCTTTGGTTGGAGGTGAGAGGCAGCCATGGGGAAGCAGAGCATGTGCTGGCCTTGGGGGCAAGACTGGGTTCCAGTCCCAGCTCTGCCCCTTCTTAAATCTGAAAGGCTATAGGCCTCAGTTCTCTCCACCGAACAAAGGAAAGAAAGCTAACCTTTCTGTGCAAGGTTTCAGGGTGAGCCTGATGAGAAGGGTGGCAGGTGGACTTAGAAGTACAGTGCTTATTACTCCTCCTCATTGTTATTTTTATTCCTATGGCTTCTCGTCATCATCGTTGGTACAAGGAGGAAACCACTGCCCGCTCAGGGCAAACTGATCTGATTTTCGTTGCACTGCTCAGCTGTCAGGGTCAACTCTGCAAGAGGTCTACCTCTTGTGTCTGCAGAGCCAGTCAGGGGCAGGAGAGGCCCACGTCTCTCTCTGAGGGAGGCTGACTTAGGATCCTGCGTCTGCCACTGCCCGGCTGGGAGGCTCTGGGTGAGCCCACGCCCCTGTCAGAGCTGCTGTGAGGGCTGAGCCAGGGCCCGGGAACAGAGAGAAAACCTCACCATTCTATGAGGGTGGTGATTCCCTCTCACAGTTGAGGGAAAGGAGGCTCAGAGAAGCCAGGTCATCTCGGCGAGGACAAGAAGCTCCTGGGCAGGACATGGCAGGGCCAGTGCCCGAGCCACTGCTCTGCCCAAATCCTTCTCCTTGCCTTCCCTGCTCACCCACCCCATCCCAATCCCTCTTGCCCCTCGGGTTCCCTGGGCTCACACCTTGAAGTCATCCCTGTCCTTGGTCCGGCTCTTGGTTGCGGCATTCCGAGCATGCGCCAGGAGCACCTGCCCAATGGCTCGCTCTGTGTGCTGCTGCAGAAGCCGCCCAACCTCCTGGGCCTCGGCCAGGAGCTGCTGCTGAAGCTGCAGCCGGGTCTGCTGCGCCTCCTCCTCCAGCCTGCTGGCCTCCTCAGTGACTCGTGCCTCCTAGAAAGGACAGGATAGAGAGGAGCCCACACTGCTGCCCCACACAGAAGCTCTGGCCAGGTCCAGGACCAGCCCAGGGCCCCAGGAAAGGACTGAGAAGGGGCAGAAAGTGGGCACTTCTGGGCTTGCAAAACCAACAATGGATGAGCCAGGGTGTCTGTTGGGGAACTCTGCAACCATTTATTGAGCACTGGCTGTGTGCCCAGTGTCATCTGTGGCCTCTCACACATGCAAGAACTTCCTTGTTCTTCCCAAATACCATGAGGCCTGAATACTAGGAGTGATAAGGACATAGAGGCTCAGAGACACTAAGTAACTTTGTAAAAGTCGCACAGCAGAGGTAGGTTCCAAAGCCAGACCTGAGTCTGAGCATATTCTGGGGCATCATGGAAGCCAAGGCAGGGCATATGAGGCCTTAGGGACTGCCCTTTCTTATGGAAAAGGAGAAGGGTGAACCAGAGCTAGAAGGGCTAGTCCTGCCTGCTTCCCACTGAGCTCTCCTGGGTAGAAGAAAAGTGACCATGACCTTGTCCTTCACTAATGGGTCAAAGCACCAGCTGCTCCAATAGCTCAGCAGCTCCGTAAGACCTGCAGTCAGCCTGCTTGGGATTAAATCTCAGTCCCACAATTTACAAATCCCTTCTTTCAACTTGTTAAAACCTTAAGATAGATTCAGGGCCCCTTCCTCCCAGCACTCTGATGACAATGACAGATCTGTTTTCTGATTATATATGCACATTAGCATAATTCTCAATACAGCCCTAAAGCCCTCCCACACACTGGGTGCCTCCCCAAAGGCTGCCATAGTCGCACACTGGAACAATAGGGGTGGTGAGATTTGGGCTTTGGCAAGCATGACTGAATCTGGAACCTGATGGAATGGCACTGCCTGGCTGGGCTGGGTAGGGGGCCTGACAAACTGATCTTACCAAGGCTCTGAGCAGCTGCCACTGATGCTCATCCAGACACTGGGAGGAGCTCTGCTCAAGGGCGTGCTGCTCGCGCAGTTCCTGGAGAAGGCTCTTCTTGCCAGAAAGTCTCATGTGGGTCAGGGTGGTGATAGTGCTGCCCCGGAGAGCCAGCCTCCGGAGCGCGGAGCGTAGTAGCAGGCCATGGCCCTGAAGGATGCACCACGTGGACCTTTGAGGAAAGTGGGCAGGCAGGGGGCTACAAGTCAGTGCTCTTGGCTTTACTGAATGTGACAGTTAACTTTGTCAGCCAGAATGTCTACAAGGTGCCCAAACATCTGATCAAACGTTATTCTGAGTGTTTCTGTGAAGGTGCTTCTGGATGAGATTAACATGAGTCAGTAAGCTTCCTAATGCAGGTGGGCCTCATCTAGTGGGTAGAAGTCCTGAAAATAAGAAAAGGCTGACTCTCCCATGGGTTTCTTTGGCCTGGAATATGGGTTATTTTTTTTTCCCTGCCTTTGGACTTAAACTGAGATTATCAGCTCTTCCTGAATGTCAAGCCTTCAGACTCAGGACTGGAAATACACCATTGTCTTTCCTTGATCTCCAGCTTGCCAACTCCAGGTCTTGGGACCTCATGACCTAAATATACATCTCCTGTTTGTTCTGTGTCTCTAATATATTGAACTACCAAGAAATGCCTCAAGTAGCCAAGTTCCCCAGGGATCCTTTTCAGAAGGCAGTAGGTTCAAATTATCCCATCTCAGGACATCTGGGTGGCTCAGTTAGTTAAGCATCTGCCTTTGGGTCAGGCCACAATCCCAGAGTCCTGGGATCAAGCCCCATTGAGCTCTCTGCTCAGTGGGGAGCCTGCTTCTTCCTCTTCCTCTGCCTGCTGCTCCCCTTGCTTGTGCTCATGTTTGTGCTCTCTCTCTGTGAAATAGATAAATAAAATCTTTTTTTTTTAAAGGAATCATCCCATCTCCTGCTGCCTGTTCTCTTAGACACAATTGCTCACTTGTATTCAGCCATTTGTTCTTTCATTCATCTTTTCAACTTTATCATATCCTGCCCCAAGTTTCTGATACATATGCGCAGCTCTCTTCAGGACACATTCACCTGAATTTCTTACATAACTTTCAAAATCAAGTTTCAAAATCAATCTTACATAACTTTCCAAAACTGGAATTGTGGGCTATTTTTGAGTTCCCATCTCAATGACTCAAGTGAAAAACCTTGGTATACCAGAGAGGCCCATTATTTGGTATTTTCTGACAGCTTGAAAAGCTGAACAGAGTTTTGGCAGTCAACCTACCAAGGAGGAGAGACCTGACAAGCACTCTAGGCTTTCATCTGGGAGCTTTTGTCCTAAGAATAAGGAATCATCCTATACAGAGGCTTAATTTTGAATCAGCTGCATTCACAAATGGGGTAGCAGATCTGCCACTATGTGAAATCCCTGCTAGAAGTAATATAAATCCTCTCTGGACGAAGATCCCATTATTCAAAATCTTAAATTATCTCTGCAATGTTCAGCAACAGTGTCCAGCATTCAACAAAAATCACCAGACTTGCAAACAGATTTATTTCCCTAAAACAAAGGGAAAAAACAGATAATAGAAATATACCAAAAGATATGTGAGATAATCAGACAAAGCCTTTACAATAGTTATGATGAATATGTTTAATAAATTAAATGATAAGATGAAAAATTTCAGGAGACAACTGAAAACCTCTACGAAAAGAATCAAATGGAAATTCTAGAACTGAAAATTCAGTACCAACATTAAGAACAGTAGAGGGATTTAACAGCAGATGAGAACTTGCCTAAGAGAGCGCGAACTGGAAGATAACTCAAAATAAGTGTCTAGTCTGAACCACAAAGAACAAAAGAATGAAAAATACAGGATAGCATATAAGATGTATGTGGGATAAGGTGAAAAATTCTAATAATTGTGTGACTGGAGCCCCAGAAAAGTAGGGAAAGAACAGGCAAAAGGAATTTTAAAGAGATAATGGCTGAAAATTTTCAAAAACTGATGAAAGATAGCAAACTACTGGAGATTCAAGAAACACATGTTGGCAAACTGAATTTAAACAAAATTTTTTAAAAAAGAAAAAAAAGAAATACTACAGATTTATTAAACAAACAAACAAACAAACAAACAAGAAATACCCACAAAAACCACATACATGGTTAGGCATATCATAATAAACTGATGAAAACCAAAGAACAAAAGAAAATCTTAAAAGCAGTCAGAACTAATTGAAGTAAGAAAACAAAAGATTATCCTTAAAAAGCATTTAAAAAATAGTAACCAAACTAGGATTCTATACCCAATGAAAACATTCCCCCAAAATAAAAATGAGATAGACCTTTTCAGACAAACAAAACCTAAGAGAATTTCTCACTAGCAGATCTGAAATCCAGAGAACATTAATACAAAGGAATATAACCCCAGATACAGAAAGAATCATAAAGATACAGAAAAGAATCAAGAGCAACAGAAAGGGTACATATGTGAGCAAATATAAATAAGTATTGACTGCATAAAATATAAGAATAAAATAAGAATGATAATAACAATAAAGAATGATATATCTTTTTATCTTTTTATGATATATCATAAAAATAAAGAATGCTATATCTTAATATATGATATATCTTAATATATATCTATATTTTAAGATATATCATAAAAATAAAGAATGATAGATCTTTTTTATCTTTTTATGATATATCATAAAAATAAGAATGATAATATCTCATAGGGTTGAAAACAGAGAAGCAAAATACCCACCAAGAAAAGGATACTCTCTCTATGAGAGAAGAATAAATGGAGTTAAGGTGTTCTAAGGTGTCCACATTGCCTGGAGGAAGGAATATATTAGTGTATATCAGATTTGGACACATTAAAGATGCAAGTTAAAATCTGTGAACCATTAAAAGCACAGTAAAAGAATACATGCCAAAAAAGATAAATTAAAATAAAAAAAACACCTAATCCAAAAGAAGGTGAGAAAGGAGACAGAAAGGAACACAGAGCAGCAGAGCAAACATAAAACAAACAGTAAGATGATAGATTAAAAATCCAAATATGCTAAAATTAAGATTTACATTAAATATAAGTGGACTAAATATTAGTACAATTAAAAGACACAGGTTTTCGGGCTGGACAAATCTTCCAATCACCCTCTATTGTCTTAGTGGCTCACAAAGTTTTCCTACTTGTTGTCACCTCCTTCCCCTATATTATCCAATATAGCTATCCACCTACTTCTTGACGTATACACACTAGTGCCCTGAAAAAGGCTTGCAACTAGAAAAAGTACTTTATCAAAATAATTTTTATCATGTAAAACAAGGAAAAAGAGTATTCTAGAGTAAGTTGAAAATATGGTACTAGGGATGCCTGAGTGGCTCCGTGGTTGAGTGTTTGCCTTCGGCTTAGGATGTGATCCCAGACTCCTGGGACCAAGTCCCATATTCGGCTCCCTGTATGCAGCCTGCTTCTCCCTCTGCCTGTGTCTCTGCCCCTCTGTGTGTGTGTGTCTCTCATGAATAAATAAATTATTTTAAAAAGAGGAAATATAGTACTACACTAACAGGTATTAAAGTAGAAAAGAAGGGTGCCTGGGTGGCTCAGTTAAGCATCTGCCTTTGGCTCAGGTCATGATCTCAGGGTCCTGGGACTGGACCCCTCATCGGGTTCCCTGCTAAATGGGGAGTCTGCTTCTCCCTCCCCTTCTGCCCCCCACTCTCTCAAACAAATAAATAAAATCTTTAAAAAATGAAAAAACAGAAAAGAATACAGATTTATTAATAAATTGGGAATGGTTGAAAATGGGCACAAAGAGTCTTTTTAAGTGATAGAAATGCCTAACTTTGGATCATGGCTATAGGTGAAGAACTCTGTAAATTTACCAAAAATCATTGAATTATACACTCAATATATGTAAATACTTTCCAAAAAAATGTTTTAAAAGGTTCCTATGCAAGACAGCTCTATGAAGTAGGTATTATGAGCCCATTTTATGGGTGAGGAAATTGAGGACAATAAATGGTAAGTCATTTGCCCAGATCAATTCTGACTCCAAGCCTTTACCTGTAGCACTCTGCTACCATTCTTCTCCACATGTACATTTACAGTTCGGTTGGACTCAAAACCATACCATAAGAATGGCAGGGGATAGTTAATGTGTCCACTTAACAGATGAGAACACTGAAGTTAGCATGGAGGTCACACAGGACACAGACCTCCACCCTTCAGAAAGCTGTACTTACTCTTCAGTGAGACCACCAAGTCGGCCCAAGACTTGGTGGACGATGCTCTCATGGTCATCTTGCAGGTGTGTCTGCAGCACGGAGGACAGGGCATGCTCCTCCATCCACACCTAAATCCGCACAGAGGAACAGGGGTCAACTCAAGTTCACTGTACCCATCACTGCTTTGTTGGAACATGCCTTTTGTTTCTTGTTTAAGAGATCCTTTTCTCCCCTGATTTCATTAAAATTTTCTCTTATGGTTCCTTCTAAGGATTTTTAAAATTTCTAATTTGTATCTAAATCTTAAAACATTTAACACTCAGTGGGGAGTCTGTTTGAGATTCTCCCCCACTTCCTCTGCCCCTCCCCCAACTTGTGCTCTCTCTCTTCTCAAAAGAAAAAAAAAGAAAATTCTTTACAGCCTTGCTTCTCTAAGTGGTAAGTGTACGTAGTTACTAAAGTATATGGGGATCTTTGGTGGGCACTTCAGAATGTAGGTAAAGCCAGCATCAGACTCAAACATAGCTGAGGGGACCAAGGCATTGGACTACATTGTGCCTGCAGGTGTCCCACCAACTGCTCCAAAGCTATCAAACGCTGGCTCATGAATGCTTAAATCCAGAGCGACAAGTTGCTTTGGTGGGCTAGAGCGCTGACCCTGGTCACTGCTACCTGGTAATTTTGTGGCTTTGGACAAGTTTACTGTTTGTTTCAAGTGCAGAATTACCATGGAGAGATAGGGGGAAGGAACTAGCAGTCAGGGATGCCTGGAACATACTAAGAGTCTCAAAGTGTTCTCCCATAAATGGGGTGGGCTTACTTACAGGTGGGTAGGTTCTAAAGCCCAACACCTCAGGCAAATGTTGTAGTGCTGAGGGAGGGGGCACTGCCATTTTAGAAAGCACAGTCAGGGCAGGCCTTATTGTGAGGGTGGCCTCGTGTGAGGGTACCGTGGGAGCAAAGACCTGCAGCAGACAAGAGCAAGGCAGGAGCACAGCCAGTGAGCTGGAGAACGCAAGGCAGCCAGCATGGCTGGAGTGGAACGAGCTGGGGAGAGAAGGACGAGGTTAGAGGGAAGCCCAGGCCCTGAAGTGGAATGCTCATTGGGCACAATGAGGATGCTGGCTTTACGATGCATGAAAAGAGAAGCCACTGGGAGTTGGGAGCAAACAAGTGACACGACATGGCAGTGTCTTTTAGCAAACCTGATGTGCTGGAAATTATAAGATGCACAATTATTTTAAGTATCACTAAGGGAGACAAATCACTGCCAATTAAATTATTATGCATCTCAGCATCTAGGCTGTTAAAATATTTTTTGAAATGCACATCTTAAAAGTTAGTGTCATGTGGTAGGTTTTTAAAGTGTCTCTCTGGCTGGGAGTTGAGAATAGACCATAGTAGGGGGGAGGCGGATTCCGGGAGCCCAGGGGGCTGGCTGTCATGGTGACCTGCTGAGAGGTGGGGCAGCTGTGACCAGGTGCAAGAACAGACATGATGGAGTGGCTCCATTCTGGACCAGACAGAAGGCAGAGCCTATGCGACCTCCTGTTAGGTAGATGTCGGGGGTGAAAGAAAGACGAGTCAAGACAACTCCAAGGATTTTGGCCCAGTTGATGGGAAGATGGAGGAAGATGTGGATGGAGCAGGTTGGGCAGGAAGACCGGCAGTTGTTTTGGGCACACGACACATCCATGCCTACTCATCACATCCAGGGAGTGCACAGGCAGAGGACAGAGTCTGGAACACATTCTGTGCTGCACACATAAAAGAGGCAGTTGTCAGCCTCAGTCCAAAACCTGAGGGACAGAATCTTGCCAAGAACCGCGTAAGTGAGCTTGGAAGTGATTCTCTTCCAGCTGAGTCTCCGGATGAGACCTCAGCCACAGGCTGCATTGCAGCCACGAGACCCAAGACTTTCTCACACCAACCACATCATGCTGACTCTCCTGCACCACCTCTTTCACTATTTATAAGAACCCCGGTAATTACATTGGGTCCACCTGAGTAGTCCAGGAGACTCTCCCTGTCTCAAGATCCTGAACTGAATCACGTTTGCAAAGTCCCTTGTGCCATGTGAGGTCCCATGTTCAGAGCTATTAGGATGGGGAGAATTAGGATGGGGACATCTGTGGGCAGACCTAACGCAGTGGACTGGGGTAAAACCTAGAAAGCAACATTAGAACAGATCACGTTTTGAGAACTACCATTCTACAACCTGTTCCAACTGGGCAGTCAACAGATTCCATAATATTTAACCACTTCCATGAGTAATAGGACACGAAATTATCAAGGGCCTTTGGGTAGAAGACCATGTGGAAAATGCATTTCAAAGTCTGGGTGTGTTTCATTTTCCACGAATAGTTTTGTTGGTGCTTTCCTCTTATGACTAAATATTCATCTGAATTATAGAAAGCTCATCACTCATTTTTATCATCAAGGAAAAAATATGGTAAGCGGGAGTGCGACATGGACCTCTAAATATCTTATGGTAATTTAAGGCAATTAAACAATCAATCAGTAAATTAATTATGACATATATGCGTTGAGAAAACAGCCTTGAGTCATACTTACTTAATCAGCTGATAAGGTCATTAACCACCCTGCTTGCTTCTTGCATGCAAAACTCCTCTTGAAACCCTTCCACAAAAGCCACGGAAAATTCATATGCATGTATATAGAAAGTAAATAAATGGGACATAAAAAGCGGAACCTATGCTTTGTCTAATATTTGCTTAAAATAACTCAAGACTCGTAACAGATGCATCATGGGTGTTGCCCTAATAATTTATCAGAAAAGAAGTTCTGGATTTTTTTTTTTTATGTCAGTATTATTACCTAAGGAGACAGACACTGTGTGAAAGGTCTTATCTTGTATTATCTCACAGCAACCCTGTTGGGTATTTTGATCTCTACTTTTCACTCAGAAGCAGAGATCCTGAGACACTTATCAAGTTGTGCAAAACCCCAGAGCGGTGAGGCGTCCGCTAACCAGATGAGGTCACCCAGCTGTTGGTGGCGCTGCACTGGCTTCAACCCACATATCCAGTTTCCAAGGTTAGGGACCCATCTGCGCTACAGCTGCCTCTCAGAGGCCTTCCCTCCCATTTGGGGAGCTTTCACCAGAGGCACAATTAGACTCATGTGGCCAGCCTGTCCTCCTCCCTCCCCAGAGATTGTAAATTAAGTGGTCTGGGCCCAGCACTGGTGTGAATCCGATGGATTCAGCTTCATCTACATCCCCTGGAATAATAGTAAGGTGACCCTGTGATAATTTCCAAAGCTGCACTATCCTTGTTGGTAATGCAGTCAAGTTTTCCTGAGGCCACGCTGTGTCCCAGGCCCCAGACTTTGAATAAGGGGGGGATAAAGAAATAAAAAAGCAGAAATGTTGTCCTGCAGGAACTTAGAGCCAAGTGCAAGACACAGTTACTGATGAGAGGAAACCATCTCTCATCAGTACAAGATGCAGCTGACGGAGGAGTGAACTAAATATAAAGGTTTAACAGGAAGCTAGGCCCTGTGCTGCCCTGTGGCTCTGAGTGGACACGTGCTTGCACGACACCCCACTTTCCTTACTTGGTACACTGGATAGCTCCAGGTAGTTGATTTGGAAAACCTTTCTTCCATGCATCAGCCCAGTGCTCTTCTGTAACTAATAGGACACCCATGGTAAAGAGACAAGCTGATTCTTATAACAGGGCAGACCAGGGCTGGGACAGTGGTGTTCACTCTCTGCTCCACCATCCTGAGCACATCTGCCTCCATTCTCCTGAAATCTGCCTGTAAGTCAAGAGAAGGCTGGTGTGCCCCAGGCCTCTTGCACATGCTCTGGGCAGGAAGAACAGGGAGTACCAAAGCAGGGGATTTCTCCTAGCCGCACTTGGCTTTTGTATTAGAAGGGAAGCTCTTTGCTGGGCCACACTTTGTCTCATAGGCCAGGACTCTGTCACCTGGTCACTGCTAGATACTGGGATATTGACACATTAGTGTTACAGCCTACAATGTGAAAGAAGGCAAGAGAGAAAGGAAATGCAAGTGTTCCAGTGCCTGGCCCATTTGGAAATGCCTCCTTTATTTGACATATTTCATTTTTTAAAAAATAAAATCAATGTAATATTAAATAAAAATTATTTGTATTAAACGAAATTAATGTATATAGTTTCCTATTGCTGCCATAACACATTACTACAAATTCTGTGGCTTACAGCCACACAAATTCATTATCTTACAATTCTGGAGGTCAGAAGTCCGAAATGGGTCTTATCAGCTAAAATCAGGTGCTGACAGAGTTATGATCCCTTTGGAGGCCCCAGGGGGGAATCTGCACCCTGCCCTCTCCTGCTGCCTGAGGCACCTGCATGCCTCGGCTCCTGGCCACATCATGCTATCCGCTGCTCAGGTCATCACTGTTCCTTCTCTGACCCTGACTCTCCCCCTTCCCTTTCAGAAGGACCCTGTGACTGCACTGGGGCCACCTGGATCCTTCAGGACAACCCCTCCATTTCCACGTTCTTAATATAATCACTTCAGCAAGGTCCCTTCTGCCATGTTAGGTGATGATTCACAGGTTCGGGGAATTAGGATGTGGACAGCTTTGGGGCCACTGCCCCATCTACCACATGTAGACCTGGTTTTCATAATGCAACAGACTCTCACTGGAAAGTAGGAGTCCCAGGTGTGCAGCTCAGCCCCCCACCAAGTCCACCCCCCTAGGATCTACCTTCTGTCATTCTAAAGAACAGGCACTGCTGGTCTTTCTGGACAGACCAGCCGTATGCATTATCTAGCAACTTCCCACCCTCTGCTCTCTTCTCCCGCCCACCCTGGCTGGGAATGGCCGGCAGGCACTGGGTCGGTAAGGTGCCCAGCGCTGGCACTAGGGGATGCTCCCTGAATGAGATCTCTCTATATTCTTCCTAAATGTAAACAGAGGTAGACCTCAGGCCTGGTTTTCCAAAATGCCCACCTGCCTGTCTTGCTCCAGGAGATCTTGGAAGAGTTTCCACTGCTGTTTGCGGAAGCGATCCGACTTCCCCAGCTGCTGGGCTGCGTTCTCCTGGACCTCCTGCCTCAAGTACTCACACTCTGCCCGGGAGAGGCTGGTCACACCTGGGAGCGTCTGAAGGAACAGGACCTCCACAAATTTCTGGAACGTTTCCATGGTGCTGCAGTACAGCTCCTGAAGATGAGAGCACGTGATGGAGCTATAAGTCATGTTCTCATCTGGGCCAGGGCTATGGGCTTTCCACAAACCACAGAGGAAACCCAGTGAAGGGAGCTCTCCAGTCACACACACACACACACACACACACGTATACACACATACCCTACACACATATGGAAAACACCCACTGCCTTCTGGTCCTTTCCCTGCCACCCTGTCCTGCCCTCTGACCCACAAGCTCTTAATCTCAGGTGACCCCTCAAAACCTCCCTCCAGATTATTTTCATCACTCCTGGGCTCTCTGCCTCCCTCAACCCTCCAAGCTTAGGCCAGTTATCTGCATAAAGCACAGATCTTACTGTATTTTCAGCTGGAAGAACGTGGAAGGCCTCTCTTCCCCTCACTCTCAAGGTTCCCTGGTAGGGCTGCTGGGAGGTCCTGCCTCAGTTTCCACTGTTCTGTTCCCTTCAGCCGAGCTCACCCACTCCAGTCTTACTGGATATGTACTTTTTTAAATTGAGGAAAACAAAAACCCCACATACAGTAATATATTAGGGATGCCTGGGTAGCTCAGTGGTTGAGCATCTGCCTTTGGCTCAGGGCATGATCCCGAATTCCCAAGATCGAGTGCCACATCGGGCTCCCTTCATGGAGCCTGCTTCTCCCTCTGCCTATGTCTCTGCTTCTCTCTCTGTGTGTCTCTCATGAATAAATAAATAAATAAAATATTTTAAAAAATAAATGCTTGTGATTCCACCACTCAGATCCTCTTTTTAGATTAAAAACACTAAAATTGACAGGTGATACTGGAATTCCTTACGCTCTTCCTACAGTTCCCTTCTGCTCCCTCCCAGCATCCTCAGAGACGGCCATCACCATGAACTTGGCATCTCTCTTTGAGCTTAGACTTCTATACTTTCACTGTATATTATATCCACAAATGTGCCTTTTGGTGACTGTGTTAGCCACATAAATGGTGTCTTGTTGCACGTTTCTTTACACAGAGGCTTTTTCAAGCCACTCCCCCTCATCCCAAATTCAGACACTTTCATACCTGGAGTGAACTTCTATTCATCCTTCAACACCCCTGCAAAATAATCCCTTTTCTGTGAAGCCTTCCTCAGGAGGCTCAGACCAACATGGGTATCTGACCCTGGGTTCCCACAGCTCTTTGGTCAGCCACACCAGGTCACTGAAACTACAACTTATTTGTCACCTCTCCCCTGAACCACAGCTTGCTGAGAGCAGAGGCTACACAATACTCAGATCTGTGCCCACATCTTACATCCTCCTGGACCAAGCCCTCAGCTTCAGTCCGTTCAGTCCCAATACATGACTCACAGACATGATGTAGAATGTCCATTCTCCCTTTTCTGTCTAGGAACTCCCCATACATGTTTCAAAACTCAAGTCAGGGTCTCCTCTTCTGGGAAGACCTGGCTGCGGGGTTTGATTGGACACAGTATAGTTTAGACTAAATATCTGGCTTCCTTCTAGGAGTCTGAAACCTTGGTGCATGCCAGCAAGGTGTGCCCATGGGACTGACTCCCAGCAAAATCCTTGGACTCCTAAGCTCAGGGGAGTTATCCACTTCACACAAGTTGTTGCACTCATTGCAGGGGTGGGATTACACACAGCCCCACTGCGAGAGGACTCTGGAAGCTTGCTCTTGGTTTCTCCTGGACTTTGCCCTACATGCCTTTTCCCTTCATGGATTCTGCTTAGATTCCCTTCAGTGCCGTAAGTCTTGGCATTGGTGGGGGCTATCTGTGAAGTCCTTAGAGTCCAATGAGGTGCTCATCCTTTCCTACTACCCCCCCACCCAGCACTCACCTTCGTGGTCATTGGCTGTGTCTTGGTCCTCAAGGATGAGACCAGGAGGTTTCTTAACAACAAAGTCTTATCTTACTACCCAACCATTTGCAGGGCCTCACACAGCATCTGGCAAATAGCTGGCAATGATGGTGTAATTGGTAATAATTATGGATTCTTACCATATATGAGAGGGTGCCACAAACACCTTTCCTGTATAATCTCATTCGATCCTTAGAGTAGTCCAGTGATGATGCTCTATTATAACTACTATCATTTCACTGATTAGGAAACTAAGGCACAGATCAGATAAGTAATGGCACAGGATTTGTGGAGGGTGGGTCCTGGCCATCAGATTACTGAACTCATACTCATAACCAGTATGCTACGTGGATAGTTGGGGTTTTGATAGAAAAATAAACATATTTACAGCACCTGACATGGTGCACCTAGGTCACGCTTGCTGTGCTTAATGAACAGAAGTGAAATTTAATTCAAGTCAATGTTAATTAAACCAGTGAGTGTCCTGCTTTAAGAAGCTCATGGCCAAGCTGGACTTTGTTCAGAATAAGCAATCATGACAGGGGCATACGTGACCCACATCCTTTTCAAAGATTTAGAGAGCCTAAGGATAACAGCCAACCAGGTCATCTGGGCCAACTCTCCCTCTGAGGACAAATGATAAACAAAGCTGGACAAAATGCTTATTATGTGATCATGAAAATCCCAAGTGAGCCAGCAAGGTAGCTCGAGCTGAGGTCAGGGAGAAGGCAGTCAGGGATGCATGCCCAGCCCCTTGGGGATGCACTTTCGCACAGGGAGTGGACCAATCCAGAGGTGGTGGCTGAACAGCTGATGGGACTTCTGATGGCTACTAGTGCCAAAGAGACGAAAGATGGACGGGGCTGAGGCCTGCTAAGCCATTCCGCGCATAGCGCCGGAAGCCAGAAAGCTGCACTGCAATGTAGTAGAAGGAAACGGACTTCAAACTGGTTCAAACAGCTACAACCCAGAGTCAGCTCATGGAGAGGGCCTGCGATGTTTCAGGTCCTGACCTTGAATGGTCACCCTGGGCCCCAGAGCCCCAGTCATCTGCCAGAAGCGAAGGAAAATCCTCTTTGAAGGACACGACTGTCTGTCTGAACACACTTTCACAAGTAAATATAAAAATTTGGAATAAGGCATAAAATAAGGAGTAAACAGGCTCACCAGGAGACAAGGCAACATTAGCAGAGGCCCACACAAGCAACAGACATGAAACAAGCCCTCAGGTACTCGCGAGAGTGTAATCACAAGACCTGGACTTTGAACTTCCGATGCTCACTAAGGCATGACGTTCAAAGCCGCTCAGAAGCTTTAAGACAAAGAGCTGGCCATGTGGTGTCGGCTCATCCTCCAGTGGGGCCGGGGCCTGAGTCAGGGATCCTGGAAGTCAGCCCGGTCTCTGAGGCTGAGCCCCAGGAAATACCGTGGACCACAGCTTGGGCGCGGTTCCGTGGCTGGCCATGCCTGGTGTGCCATGTCACGTGTCACGGCTGGGAAGAGTTCATGTAGTCCACACTCGGCGGGAGAGGACACTTGGAATCTGCGGGATGGAGCCCTGGGCTCCGCCCCTCATTCTTTTTTTTTAAGATTTTATTTTTTTATTTATGAGAAACACACACACAGAGAGAGAGAGAGGGAGGCAGAGACACAGGCAGAGGGAGGAGCAGGCTGCAAGCAGGGAGCGCAACATGGGACTCGATCCCGGGTCTCTAGGATCACGCCCTGGGCTGAAGGCGGCGCTAAACCGCTGCGCCACGCGGGCTGCCCTTCCGCCCCTCATTCTAACTGTCATCTGTACGGCTTGTGCTGGAACCCACAGCACTTTCAGGGTGAGTCCTTCTGGAGAATTAAAGGACCTGAGGGTCATCTTGGGGACCCTCAAGCTTATACTTGGTGTCAGGAGTGAGGGTGTCCAGGATTACTCCCCAACACTTCCTGGGCACTGATAATTATTAGTGCTGTGATCTCTGAGGCCAGTTTCACTTCTGTTTCAGTCCCAATTCACTGTGAGAATCGGGAGCCGAGAAGGTTCAGGCTGGGTGGGTTGCTACCCCACTGCACTCTGCTATGGGCCCTTCGGCAGACACAGCATGGGTAGGACTAGAGTGAGGTCCGCACAAGCCAGTGGGCCTATGTGGTACCCTGGACACAATGGGGTGACTCAGCTGTGCATCCACCATCACCAGGATGGCTCTGTGCTCATTTCAGGAACCTCTCTACGAAGCACTGAGATGGGTGATGTAGCGGCATCTGTCCCAACACGCTGAGAATTTACTGTTTGTTTAAAGGCCAAGAGATGGTACAAATTTAGAAAAATGCACTTTTCTCTGCAGCCTGAGAACCCTTAGATGGCCATCAAACTTCTCTCACAGGCTCCATGCCCACAACACCGTGATCGGCGTCCCACCCAAAGAGGGGGGATGACAGCTCTAGGTGCCTGGCTCTGCGAAAGAGCCAGCCAGGCTGTGAGACAAGTTATCTTGAGTGCATTTCTCCGCATATACACCCTGCCAGACAGGGGGTGATGATGACAGTGATCGTGACGGTGTATTCTGAATGCTCACCAGGTGCCTGACGCAACTCTAGCTGCTTTGCACGTGTGAACACAGGTATGCCTCTGGACAGCCCCACGAGGAAGGCTTAGTATCTCCATTTTAACAAAGGAGATGAGGTGTCAACCATGAAAAGAGACCCCGGCCCCACACTTCTCACACCCTGCTCAGTGCTTTATCTGTTTGGTCAGGGGCTGACCATAGGTTGTACAAAGGAGAGCTAAAAATTATTGAATGAAAGAATCAACGAATGGACTCCTCCCAGCCTCCAGCTAGTCAGTGAGGAGGTCAGATGTCCAGAGCTGTGCTCATCACCCCCGGGGCTCAGGACCTTTGGGGCAATGTGCTCAGCAGCAGGGCCACCAGGGAGGGATTTAGTGAGCACCTACTGTGTGCTGGGCCCTGGGTGCCAGCCCTGATCTCCCACGCTCCACACGCTGCCATGATGGTCAAGAAGGTTCTTGGGCTCCATCGTGCAGAGAAGCAAACGAGCTCAGAGAAGTTAAGGCTTGTCCGAGGTCGCCTAGCCAGGTGTGGCACCACCAGCTTTCCAATCACCTCCCTTCTCCTACACGAGAGGATTTCAACCACCTCCTGCTGTTCATACCCGTAAAGCAGTCCCCAATAACCAAAGGCAATGATTTCCATAGTTGAAAGACATAAAAGAAACCAAAGTCACCTGAAACCAAAGGGTTCTATGTGAAACAGTAAAATAAATCTAAGGAAATGCCTCTGGACTGATTCTGGGAGACAAGCAGGCACCAGCCTTTGGTTCTCTGCTTCAGAAGCACCAATGCAGGTGCACAGAATCACAAGCACACCTTCACCTCACCCCTCACACCATCTCACGCAGTGCATTTCCGAGCCTCTCCTCCTAAGATACACACTCCAGCAGGTGTCACTCCTCATTCACACCTGACAGCCTCTCCTCATGTTAGAGAAAACAGGGTCTTTCCCCTTGTGGCCCAAGCTCTCACAGGCCCGGCAACTAGACCCAGGCACAGGAATCCAAATGCATAACATCCTAAGGACATCACAGGACGGACGAGGCTGTAGTCACTTCAGCATCACCACAATCCTTTACTAAAACTGATGTATTTACTGCCACCCAATGAGACTGGCCTGGCACTTTTACACGTGCCACTCATTCCTCTCGTGACAATACCTGATGGGCTGTTTCAGCCTTGCTTTGCAGAGGAGAACAGTGGACTGCTAGAGGTGGGCTCTGGAGGCCTCAGGGGTCATGGGGCAGGGCAACCAGAGCATCTGCCCCATGAGTATGAGCTCACTTGACCTACCCCATGCCCTCCAAGACAGTGGTTCTCAAACTCGGCGGTGCATCAGAATGCTCAGATGGGGACACTGAAGCCCAAGTCAGCTAAGCCGCTCCTGAGCCCGTAACTGGTAAATGGCCTGGCTGGGATTAGAACCCAGACGTCTGACTTCAGAGCCAGGATGTCACTGCTCTGCCACACAGCCCACACTAAGCAGCCTCTAGTCTTCTTTTCTTTTCTTTTTTTTTTTTTAAGATTTTTAAAAAATGTATTTATTCATGAGAGACACAGGGAGAGAGGCAGACACACAGGCAGAGGGAGAAACAGGCTCCCTGCAGGGAGACTGATGTGGGACTTGATCCCAGGACCTGGGATCACTACCTGAGCCGATGGCAGACGCTCAACCATTGAGTCACTCTGGCATCCCCAGCCTCTGGTCTTCTTATGTGGATGTCAGTCATTGGACTTAGGGCCTCTCCTAATTCAGGATGACCTCACTTTAACCAATTTCATCTTTAAAGACCTGACTTCCAAGTAAGGTCACATTCTGAGGTTCCAGGGGACATCTTGAGGGGTACTGCTATGAATGGAATTGTGCCTCCAAATTCAAATTCTGAAGTCTTTAGCCCCAATATGACAGTTTTTGGGGATGGGGCCTTCATGGAGATGGCTGGGGGCAAGTAAGGTCGTATGGTGGAGCCTAAAGCTAACAGGGCTAGTGTCCTAATAAGAGGAAGATCCCAGAGCTCTTTCTCTCCATGAGCCCATGGGAAAGGCCAAGTGAAGACAGTGAGGAGGTGGACATCTGCAAGCCGGGAAGAGGGTGGATCCTCAGGAGAACCCAACCCTGCCGCATCCCGGCCTTAGGCTTCTGGTCTCCAGAACAGCAAGAGATGATAAATGTCTCTGTTTAAGCCCCCTGTCTAGGGCGCTTTGTTACAGCAGGTGAGCTGACTGATACAGATAGCATTTAACCAGTACAGTGGCTACAGCACTGAGGGTTTGCACTTCCCACCTTCACATGTTTTTCTGGGCCTGGGAATCCCCCTGGCTCCTTGTCCACAGGGCCCATCTCCCCCTTCAAAGCTTGGCTCAGGCATCACTTCCCGCTGACAGCTGTCTCTGACCTGGTCTTAACCCCAGGACATCCCTCACACCTCTCCTCTGTACCCAGAAACAGGGATGTTAAAATGGGAAGGCCCATCATTGTCTCCATTTCACAGATAGGGAAACTGAGGTCCAGTACAATCTGGATGCTGCACAGTGAGGAAGGGGCAGAGCCAGGACACTGACCCTCAGGTCCTTGGAGTCTGGGGTGGACTCTGCACCTGCTGCCCATCACAACGGCACGTCAGCTTCCCTCGCATGGAGATGTCTGCATTTCTGCTTCGCAGCAGCTCTGGGTGCCACCAGAGGCAAGGGCTCTATGTCTCGGTTATTGTTACTTCCTGGGAGGGCCCTGTCACTCTGGGGGGCACAGGTGGTCTCCTCTATTCTCTCCAAGCCAGTCCTCAAGGCCAGTATGGAGTCTTCCTCCCCATTCTGGACTTGAACAAGGTTTGCCCAGGGAGAAAGCGATGATGCTGGCACTCAGACCCAGGCCTCCCTATTTCAGGGCCAGCACTCCCTCCTCATCACTGCCCTGCTGACTCCTACAGATCCATCCTGGGTGAACTCACTTCCAAAAGCCTTGGCCTCTGGGGACATTTGGAGGTTAGAGGCCTGAGCACCCCAAAAATGGAAGATGCTTCAGGCAGGACCCTGGTGTGTGACACGGAGGGTGTGTGGCTTGCCGGCTGCCCAGCTAGAGGGCCAGGGTCAGACCTGGACCTGCATCTTTGGGGTCCCAGCCCTGAGGTGAGATACCCACACACGCGCAGATCCTGAGGTTCTCTGCAGGTCCCACTAGGAGGCCACATACCTGGCAAAGCACAGCCATGGCCTGGGTGGTTCTGACACTGTCCTCCTCCTCCAGGTGACTCCGGACCAACCTCTGCCTCTCTAGGACCGCATGAAAAGCCTGTGAGTTAAAACAGGAGCTGAATCTCATGCAAATATGCCCCATCTTTCACTAGAAGAATTCCACCAAAGGGCCGCTCTCAGATCTGAAGGATGTCTGTCCCTGATTTATATAGGAAGAAACTGAGGCACAGGGATATCATGTGGCTGCAAACTGCACACCTGACCTCCTGGCCACAAGCCACATTCAGTGACTGGATTGCTGGGGACCACCGCCCAGGCCCCAGAGACCACCCAGGGGAGGCCACCACCTAGTGAGTCAGTGAGGTCGGTGAACCAGCCAGGCCACCCTGACCACGTGGCTGCACCCTGCCCTGAGGAGCCCAGGGAGTGGAGGGGAGATGGAGCAGACCCAGAGGCATGGCGGGTCACAGGACAGAGGGATGGACTCTTCTTAGGGAGCATGCACGGGGTGGGGGGGAACTCTCCCTGTAAGTAGAGGCTTTATCAACAAGGAAGGTTCCCTGGAGGGAAGATGGGGAGCCCATGCAGCTGGGGTTCAAGGAGCCACAGCAGTAGAGACCAGGCAGTAAGGATCCGTTGCCCCCAGGGGGAGGTGGAGGGAGAGATAGGCTGAGAGGGAACTGCAGGGCTAGAGGGAGGGCACTGGATCATTCACTCATCACTCATTCATCATCCCTTTGTTCATTTATTTATTCATTCACTCATTCGTCCATTCTTGCATGCATCTGCTCAACTGTTCTTCCTTTGTCCAAGTCTCCTGGGCATCAGTGTGTGCCCGGCCTGTGCTGAGTCTCCCTGAAGCCTCACAACCCATAAGTTAGGTTCCTATATTCCCATTGTGCAGATGAAGAAAGGCCTGGTCAGGGGTGGGGTGAGGCCTCGGGTGGGGTGGGGTGTGCTGTGAGCAATGCACCTGAGGTCACCCAGCTCCTTAGCAGCAAAGTCCACATTCCAACATGCTTCCAGAGGGCCCCAGTGCCCAAATGCTTGACCATGTGCAGGACAGACAAGCAGGCCCCCCGCCCCGTCGTTAGCAGGGAAATATGGGGGCAAAGGCAGGGTTCTCTCTCTCTCTGAGAACCACAAGCCTGGCCATTCCAGCCTGTGCTGGCACCACCTCATTTCTTTGCCCTCAAGGAGGGTGGCCTCTTGTCTCCTTGTCCCCCTTCCAGGTCAAGACAAAGGCATATTCTGGCTCCGTTGCCTCCCTGGTCCTGCCCACTGAGCCTCCCATGCCCAGCCCTCCCTTCCCCTGGACCAGCTAAGGTCACTGCACTGACACATGGAGGTGAGCAGTTGACCTCAAGTCTGGCAGGTGCCAAAGCCTCTGGCTTTCCCTGCACAGTGACGAGGACTAAGCCACAGCACTCAGCCTGTGTGGCTGCTCCTGGCACAGAGCAGCCATGGACATGGGGGTGAGTCGGGAGCAGGGTCACCTGGAGGAATGTGCCCAGGTCAGTGGTCGGCTGTGCCTCGGCCAGGAAGCTCCTCTGTTCCTCTTCCTGGGCCAGCGTGAGCCTTGCCATCTCCTCTGCTTGGTGAGCCAGTGATGCCTTCACCAGGTCCTTGCCTCGCTGGACGAACTCTGAAATTAAAGTGAGTCACAGCATGTCGCAGATGACTCCCCTGACCTTCACCAGCTCCTGCCTACACTAAGGATGAGAAACATGGCTTTATCTTTCAGGCACGTGTGCTTCCAGAAAGCCAGCGTCAGGAGCCCACAGCCACACATTATCTGAAGGGGCCCCTACTGCCCCTCGAGCCCAGGGCTCAGGACACCACAAGGGGCTTCATCTAGGGGTTGTGCAGGGCAGCTGGCCAACCTCACCAGGAGATAAAGAAGAGGCACTTTTAGGAGGAAAAATGAGGGAGGTGTGGTGACACAGGGAGGGACGGGTGATGGGACAGGACAGAGGAGCCTGGTTTGCAGGAAGGAGGGGAGCCCAAGGGCAATGCCCTCTGCCTGGTGGCGAGGGTGGAGGCGAGGAGAAAGGCTGGGGTCTAAACCCACCCCTCACCCCGCCTGCATCACCAGGCCAGCAGTGTGCCCAGGTCAGCACTGGGCACTGGGGCCTGGCTGTGAGCAGGACCCAGCCTTGCTCCCGGTCTGCTCCTGGTCCAGGGAATTCAAGAGAAGGGGAAAGGAGAGTCAATGCCATGCCAGATGAGGGATGGGGTGGTGGGATGAGAAGGATGAGGGGTCATGGGCAGGGTGGGACCCCAGAGAAGGCTTCTGGGAGAGGAGACCAAGAAGTTAGCCAGATCCTAAATGCTGAGTGAGAGGCTGGAGAAGTCAATGAGGGCCAGACTGCCAGGGGTCTGCAGGTCTGGAGATGTTTGTTTCAGCACTTCACACACACACACACACACACACACACACACACACACACACACACACACACGTGCATTCCACATTTGTAACACAAGCACGCTTCCTTGGGTTTTGTGTGAGAATCTGTTTAGCCCTTGGCACCAAAGAAAAGAGTGTGACCAGGAGGCACCTGGGGGGTCAGTCAGTTAAGTGTCTGCCTTTGGCTCAGGTCATGGTCTCAGGGTCCCTGGCTCCCTGCTCAGCGGGGAGTCTGCTTCTCTCTCTCTCTACCCCCTCCCCTGCTCCTGCTCTCCTTCCCGCCCCCCATTCTCTAATAAATAAAATCTTAAAAAAAAATCAAAACCAAAAGAAAAGAGTATGACCAGGTATCCATCGAGACCTGAGTCCTCCCTCCACCCCCTGACTGTCTCCTTGCTTCCTCTGTCTTATCCAAGTTCAACAGAGCCTGATCCCTGATCCATGGGGGCTGCCTGGGCATCCTGTCCCCGCCTCTGTCTGCTGTGGGGGCCCCTTCCCACTGGTAAAGCCCAGGCCCTGGTGTGATGACCCCCAGGTAAGATGTGCTCAGGTTCTACATGGGCTGGAGTGCCAGCCAACAGCAGGCTCCCACCGGTCACAGAAGCCGTGACGCCAAGTGACAAGGGCCTCCTGGAATGGCCTGACTGGAGTCCTGAGGTCCTAGGTCCGAGTGCCTGCCCTCTGACCCCATCTCTGAAAGGCAGCGGGCAGGTCTGGTGGAGGGGCCGTGAGCCACTGCAGATGCAGCACCAGGCCACTGGCTGCAACGAACACCTGGTGTTGTGGATTGGACCCCATCTGCCCAAACTGAAACACTAAAGCCCTAACCCCCGCGGGACTATATTTGGAAGCTAAATGAATTTATGAGGCTGGGATCCTCATCCCATAAGGCTGGTGCCTTATAAGAAGAGGAAGAGGTGTAAGAAAGCTCATTCTCTGCCATGTGAGTACACACACACAGAGAAGGTGGCTGTCTGAAAGCAGGTTTCCTGCCAAGAACCGAATCGGCTTGGTGCTCTGATCTTGGACTTTACTGCCTTCAGAACTGGGAGAAAAGAGAAGCTTGTTGTGTAAGCCCCCGGTCTGTGTTATCTTCATATGGTGGCCCGAGCTGACAAGACACCTGGAGACTCCCTGGTCCTATAGTGTCCACACCCGTGTGGGCATCAGGAGCCACTGGGGAAACTGAAGCACACAGACTCCGTGCCCTGCAGATGTTCTGAGACCCGGAGGGGCCTCCTGCTCCCCACCTCAGTGCCTCCACTCATGGCCCCAGGCAAACATGCGGCCTCGGACCAACACAGGGACCCCCGGTGAGCTCTCCTCCCAAGGGCCCAGGGCAGCCAGTGCTGGTGGCAGAAGTGGCACCTGCCCTGCAGTTGAAAGATGTGGGTTTCTTCTTTCTAATGATGTGACCTGGACTAAGTCTCAGATGCCCTCAGGGTCTTGAACCTTGAGCTGCCCACCTCTCAGGGTCCACCCCAGGAGCTAGGGTACGGAAAATACCCACATGGGGTTCCCTCTCCTGCCCCATATGGTCAGTCATTGTGTACTTGCTGCTAAGCAGGCCCCTGTGACTTGGGTAGGGCCATGCGCTGCAGCCGAGTGATATGTGTCTTTTCTGGGCATTTCGGCCCTTCTGTCCTCTGCAGAGTTCAGGTGCTTTTGCTGCAGGACACTGGGGCCTCCATCAGCCTGGATCACTGACAGCTAAATCCAGTGGGCCATCCCCCAGCCTAGGGACAGCCTTATGGGGAAGCAAGCAAAGCTTGGAGAAGCTAAGTGACACGGTCCCCAAGGGCAGAGAGGGGGTCACAGCCGGAGCTTGTTTCCCATGCACTGCTCCATGTCTCTGACTGCCCCCAGGGTCCCCCACCCCCAGCACAGGAGGGCTATTCACCCCAGATCGGGCCCCGGCTCACTCACCCCTGCTGAAGCGCTCTGCCTCCCCCCAGAAGGCCTTGTGCTGCTGGGTGAGCAGCTCCTCCTTTTGCCGCCCGGAGAGCTTCCCCTCCACAGTCAGCAGCTCCAGGCTGCGGGACAGTGCAGCCAGCCGGCATTTGGTCTCCTCCTGGATTTGCAGCTTCAGTGACTCGATCATTTTGGCCATGTGCGCCCGCCCCATTGTTCTCTCCAGGGTGTCCTGGGAAGGGAAACACCTTGGTCAGCGCCCAGCAGCAAGGGTCTGCCCAGGGCAGTGGGCTCCCTCCTGGTGCCCCGACTCCCTGTGAGCAGAGTGCAGACCAACAGGCTCTGCCCCTTGGCTACGGACAAAATTGCCCCTTGTGGGGAGGGGGCGAGCCTGACACAGGATAACGGATATAGAGCACTTAGTACACAGTGAGCACTTCTCAGGGGCCTGATCTTCCAGGAAGGGATTCAGTACCAGCACGTGGCCAAGGAGGGAAAGCCACTGTTCTACAGTCATCCCTCCCCAGCCGCTGGGGCCTTTGGCCTCCACAGCCCTGGAAGAGAAAGGCAAACAACGACAAAAGTTATAGGAGCTCTTGGCTTTTGAGCCTCAGAAAGCCTGGGACACAGGGTTTGAAAAGATTTTCCAAGGTGAGACTGATTTTATGAGTGGTTCCCTGGAGGTCAGACTTTAGAACATGCTCCCTCCCTGCCCCACCAAGGCATCAACACTTAGGACAAGACTCCTGGAAAAGACACCTCCCTGGGGCAGGAAATGTTGACCAGAGGCAGACAGGGCCCTGTGGGTCCGGAAGCCTCAGAGGGCAGCTGCTCGTCCTGCAGAATGAGTGTGAGGAACATGGAACGAGGGGAGCACCGTTGTGTCCAGGAGGCCCCTCGTCCCAGAGGAAAGATGCCACTCCCAGCTGGGCCCGGCACCAGCAGAGGGCCAAAGTCAGCCTCAGCCCTCTTCTCATCCCCTAGCCCCCTTCTCATCCTCTACGCCTGTAATCTTGCATCTTCAGAGCCCCCCTTTTCCCTCCTGCCGGGCCCAGTCATAGGGGTGCAGACCCTGCTCACTCCTGCCCTGCTGTCCCAGCCTTCCCCCTGCCCCCACATGGCAGACAGGGGCCTCTCTCAGAGGCAGACACGTGGCTGTCCTAATAGCCCAAACCCTCCAGTCACTGCCTTCAAACCAAGTCTGAACGTTAGGGCATGGCGCTCAAGGCCCTGAGGACCCGGCCTGGCTTTGCCCCAGCCTTGTCCACACACATTCGTGCTCAGGGCCGCCCAGCATGCCTGGCTCTCAGCTCTGCTGGGCCCTTGCACACTCGGAGTCCTCCACCTGGAGCATTCTCCTGTTCCTCTTGTTCCTCTGCCTGCTAGTCCTACTCATCCTTGTCCTGCTGGGCTGTGGGGTGCGGTGCCTTCCCTGCTCGTCCTCACCCCCAGTGGGCCCTATGTGCTTCTGTCTTTAAGGAGCTAATCACGAGGGACCATTCCAGGTGGGTCACCCACTGCCCAGCCTGGGCCTCACTGTTTGCTGAGCTGCACTGGTTTGTGTTCCGACAACGTGTGAGCAGGGCAAGGATCAGGACCCCTCAGTTACAGACAAGAATGCTGAGGTTTGTTCCGGAAGGCCACATGACCAGCCCAAGGACCACGGCTTCGAATCTTCTTCAGTTAGACACCCGACCACGGTCAGCAGGCTCACAACCACTAGGGGGTGCAAGAGGATAAGCGCTGGGGGGCCCTGCAACCTAGGGGAAAGTCTCTGCTCACAAGGGACCCAGACCAGGCCTCACTGGGGAGAAGCTCTCCCAAACCGCCTGCTGCCCCCACCTCTCATGTAGCATAGGGAGGCGTTCCTGGCTCAGGAGTGACCGCACAACCTCCAGATTTACATTCAAAGGCAGACAGGAGTGGAAAGAGGTGAGCATAGGCAGAGGGATATCAGATGGGAGGTGAGGCCCCCTTGCTCTGAGTGCAGAAGGTCCTCAGCAGCGCCTGGGCTAGAACCTGGCTCCACCTGTCAGAGCTGCAGACTTTGGGTACGGTGTTCTCCTCGGACATCAACCTTACAGAGTTGCTGTGAAAATTAAGTTAAAATGCATAAAGCACTTAAAATAGCAGCCAGAACATAGTCATCACTCATGAATGCAAGCTGCTGTCATAATTATCTACAAGCCCCTGGCATCGCTCTTGGGATGGCTTTTTGTCAAACATCCCAGGAGAATGATTCTCACAGCCTCTGGGGCCCTTTCCAGAACCTTGCCAGTTTGATATTCAGTGACGCCATGTGAACATTATGGGTCCAACGGCCCAGGCCAGAATGCTCAGACACTGACCCAAAACTTACAGCCTTCTGGAGTTTATCAGCAACGTGTTACTAGATATGGAAAAAAAATATATATGGCTACCTAGGGTGCAGGCACAGCATCCGTCTTCTATACAAACACAGATTACAGCGTTTTGCCTGTATCACCGTGATGATTTGTTAATGTCTGATTTGCCTGGACACATGGCCCACAGAAGTCTAGTCACTAACACACTGATTGCTTCCCCTGTGCCAGGATCTCTTCCAAAGGCCTTACATATTGTCCATTCTCTAATATTCTCAGAGCAGGTGCTATTCTGATCCCCACTTAGATGACGAAACTGAGGCACAGAGAGGTTAAGTAAAATGCTCAAGGTCATCCAGCTAATAAGCAGGAAGACTGTGGGTTTGAACTCAGGTCTCTGGCTCGAGTCTGTAATACTGTTTCTATAACAGAACGTGGCCCATAAGTAGGTACTCATCAAATGTTGGTTAAGAGAAGGGCATAATGATAACCTGGATAATTCTTTCCCTTCATTCTATTTGGAAGTTACTGGCTAATACTTGGAATGAATTCAGCTAAGGATACATTTTTTTTTCCTGCATCAATATCCTGCTGTCAGAATAATAATAAAAAGAAAAAAAAAGGGAAAAAAATCTCTTTTGATAAGCATTAATAACAGCAGCCTTATCAAATTAAAATCCCATTCACAGGGTTTGGACGGCGAATCTGGGCCCAGCGGTGTTATTAGACAGCACACGAATTCTAGGTGAGTCACTTAGTTGTCTCTCACTCTGCTCATTGGGAATAAAATATCTGCCATGCCTACCTTCTAGCAGTGCCAAGAAGGAAAAGGAGACTGTGTTTACACAATGAGCAAACATCAAGTTCCCAAACAGCTGTTGCACCCAGGGGGTTTGTTAAAATGCATATCCTGATTCTGGTAGGGAGGTTCTGCATTTCTAACAAACTCTTGGGGGCTACTGATGCCACTGCTCCACGGACCACAGTGGTTGTGGAGAAGCAGCACGAACTGCTCCCTGGATGTAAGCCACGAAGGCTCTGAGCCAAAGGCAGGGCAGCCACTGCAGGTCTCTGAGCTGGGTATAACCCAGGTGGGTGCAGAGTTTCAGAAACTCTGAAATGGAGTTTCATGAGTTTCCAAGGTCAGAAGGGGAAATGGGTTCATAGTGAGCCCTGGGCCTTGTACAAGGCAGGTCAAGGCCAAAAGTACTGCTGAGAAACCCCGTGGTGACTAGGGCTATGGGTCGCAGAGCACTTCCCCAGGCCCTGTCTGCAGAAGTTCCTTGGACCACTCTTTTATAAAGAGAGTAACTGAAGCTCTGGGGGGTTAACTGGTTCAAGATGACACATCTTCAAGTGGCCGAGCCTAGGTTCCAAGTCAGATTTGTGGATTCCTCTGTATCAGTGGGTTGCATCTCCAACAATATATCAGAAATGTTTGGGGAGCTTTAAAACCAGCAATACCAGGGCTTCACTTTAGATCAGTGAGATTGGATCTCTGGGCATAAGGTCTGGGCACAGGCAATTTCTGAGAGCTCCTCAGGTGATTCATGGAGCCATCAGGAGAGCAAATGAAGCTCCATCCACATAAGTGGGTGTCAACTATGACTACTCATTGTGGTCACTGGGAGCTCCAAAAAAATCCAGACTTATTAGTCAGAATCTCTGGGGTGGGGTCCCATCTGGGACTCTAGCATCGGTACTTTTTAAAGCTTCCAGATAATTTAAGTGTGCATGCAGGACTGGGAGCCAGTGCTCTATACTGTCACAAAACAAAGCTGGCCAGCATCCCCACTTAAGGAATGGATGGATGGCTGCACAGATGGATGGAAAGATGGATGGACAGATGGATAAATGGATGCATAGAAAGACAGATGGATACATGGGTGAATGGATAGATGGACAGACAGATAGATGGCTCGCTGTTTGGCTTGCTTCACTGCCTTTCTCTGGGCTCTATATCCTCATCTCTGGCCTCTATGTCTCCATCTCGGGACTCTATATCCCCATCAAGTTCGACTGGATGTCTATGGCATATCAAGCTTATGGATTCCACATCTCTAGTGTGAGTATCTTCAGATTCCCTCCCTGCCCCCTCCAGCATACCAGAGCCTGCAAATCCTGAGAATCACGCAATAACCCTTCGGCTGTAATCATTCTTTCCGTGAGCGTCATCATGAGCTGTCGGGCTTTGGAGCTGGAACACTTAAATTGGTCCATAAGAAAGTGCTGGATGTTTTCCATCTGTTTCCAGAAAGCTTCCATCTGTGAAATGAGAATGAAAAGCAAGAGGTAGGTGCAGAAAACGTATTTAAGAAAGCCATAAAGCTAGGTGGTTCATTCTTGAGAATTACAATTCATTCCTCATCACACACTGACGTTCTAAATACTTCTGCAATTCGGAGCGAGTTTATCTTGGCAATAATCAAGTTCTACAGAGAGGTTCCTCCTTGGCATATTGTAGGTGCCAGTCAGCTTCGAGGTGGCTTTTCAGCAAACACCAGTGCTCTGCTGATAAAGAAGTCAAGCACAATGAGATCACCCAGAGTAAACAGCTTAAAGACCCTTAAACAGGCCAGGATTGCTGCCTGGGGAGTGCATGAAATTCGACAGTGTGCTCCTGGAGGCTCCATATCTCTAAGAGGGATTAAACATGTTCTGGAAATAAAAGCACAAATGGCTGTTTAAATTTTAGTTATTGCCCTAAAAGTACAAAAGAGCAATATGGCAGAGACAATGCTGACCATGAAAACAATCTGCTCTAAAATCTTTTTTCTACCCCCTCATCTTATCAGGAGGAGACGTGGAAATCACTGAGTGGCTTGGAACGTTGGGGCTCATCCAGCCTCCTGGAACACTGAGGACGAGGATACCAGTGGTCGTGACAACCTCCCCTTGCGGCATGCAGGTAGGGGCCAGGCTCACGCGTTTTATGTCCGGGTAAAATGTGTATTGGCGCCTGCAGCAACAGGCTGAGAAAGTTAGGTCACTGGTGAAAGGTCACAGGGCTGGGAGGCAGGGGCAGAGGTGGTGCAGGCTCACTGAACTCCCCCAGCTGTGGTTTTCTCCACCATGGCTCTGCCTCTCCAACTCTGAATTCATCTGGCCACCTCTTGCTGCACAGGGCGTAGGAGGGCTCGGGTCTTAGCGGCACCAGAAGCCCACCCTGACCTTGTTGCACTGGCAAAAGGTGGAGACAAACGCACCCTGAAACACTGAGTCATTCTGACCAGCCACCACACGGGCTGCACATGGATGAGAGGAAGCCCAGGCCAGTGTGGACCTCATGCCCTCAGGACTTGCTGTGTGTCCTGGTGGGCAATAGCCCATCCATTAAACCTCCGGCCTCCCTCTTGCTTTCCCACCAGATGACCTCCTTCCAGACTGCACTAAGAAAACGTGACTATCACCTGTGGCACCCTGCACACCTCCAAACAGAGTCCGATTCCAGCTGGCTTTGCCACTTCTACTCCAGCCCCAGAGAGCCAGGACACCCACTCTGTTCTTAAAAACTCTTGATTCCCTTGGAGTCTGTGACATGATTTCATCCTGATCCCTCAAAGTCCATATTCTCCCTTCTTGTCTCAGTTCTCCTTGGCTCCTCCTCCTTAAGTGTTGGCAGGATCCAAGACTGGGCTCCAGGCTCCTTTCCCTATCCATTCTACACACACCCTAGGCTGGGGCATCTCCACTATGGGAGGTCACCATACGTCAGAGAATCATGGGCTTACTATGAATCATCTGCCTGAAATATACAGACAGGTATTTCAGCAGATATTCCTGCTCTGGGGAGCCCGTGGACCCAGGAATCCAGGCTGAGCACCCTCTCTCTGCCACTCACGCCATGAACATCCTCGCTTCCTATGTCCTTTGACACAAGCTTAGTGGACACTCTCCATCCTCTGGCATCTCCATCTTAAGATGTCAAGCTAGGACTCACCAGCTCCCCTCCCAACTTGCTTCTTGTTCTGGGATCCTTATTTCCACAGAACTAATCTTTAACATCCTCTTCTCCTCAACCTCATTATCTGCTACCCTATCAGCTCTCCCACTCTTTCTCACCTCTCTGCTCCTACTGCAATTGTCTTCACGAGATTTCCCTACTGCCCTAGCCAGAGAGCACACACCTATCCTTCACTGAGTAGCTGGAGCAGTCCTTCTAAAACAGAAATGGATCCAGGCACCCTCTGCTACCAACCTGCAGTGACTCCCATCTCCTGGGCATGAGATGAAAATCCTCGGGCCAGATCTCTGGTTTTATCTTGCTCTGCTTGATCCTTAGTTCTCCCTGGCTCCCTTCTTTGCCTGCCCACTGGCCAGCATCCACCCACACTCTCCCAAAAGGCCTTTCAATGTATCCTTTATTCTATGAAGACTTTCCTAACCCTAGGATAAAACAGACTCCTCCTCTCACCACTGTGCCTCTGCCTTCCAGTGTTTTCATCTATCATGACACTTGTGAGCTAAAATCCTCATCTGGGCATTCCGGGTGGCTCAGCAGTTTAGAGCCACCTTCAGCCCAGGGTCTGATCCTGGAGACCCGGGATCGAGTCCCACGTCGGACTACCTGCATGGAGCCTGGTTCTCCCTCTGCTTGTGTCTCTGCTTCTCTCTCTCTCTGTGTGTGTGTGTGTCTCTCATTAATAAATAAAATCTTAAAAAAATAAAGTCTTCATCTGCTCACCTGTGGGTCCCCCTACTATGCTAGCCTATGCATCTCCCCAGCAGGGCCAGATCTAAGGTAGTTCTTAATTTCCAGTGTGCAGTCCAGTGCTTGAGTGCCAAACAAACAAAACAAAATGCAAAAAACAAAACAAAACAAAACACCCTCTTTGTTTCATACCTAATATAGGAACGGGGGTAGTGGAACTGAAAAGCAAAAAAGGGATATTTGAGGAAAGCCACCCTCTCTGAAATTTAAAGTAGGCTTTTATGAGTGGTGATGTCTGGGGTTGGAGAAGTTAGAAGCTAGCATCTGCTCTAATCCATGGGGTTACCATGGATTAGACATACAGGGTGAGAACAATCTTTTCTCTGAATGACAAAAAAATCAATCTAAAATTTAAAAAAGGAGAATTCATTTAAAAAGAAAAAAACCTCCGTAAATCTTGGCCCTTTGATTATACTTTCTCTATTAAGTAATTTCCAACCCTGGATCCTGAGCTCTGGGGTAGAACACGTTAGGGATTTCAAACATGCTTCCAGGTGCCATCTCTTTAATCTCACCAATTTAACTGTCCCAGAAACCATGGTTTTTATATGGAAAAAGGAGAAAAAACCATCACGTACATTATCTATTAGCTGCTCAGAGTATTCTCGCTCCTTCTTTTCCACATCTGCCAGAGTGATGTATTCAGAATCACCAGCTCCTAACATTGCTGTGTTTGACAGTTTGACCTGAAGTCCCTTTTCTAATTCCGCCAAATCCTGGGGGAAACAGAGGGGAAAGAAAAAAAAAAAAGCAAATAAACAAAGGAAAAATCCAACATATCTTAAATTCTAGAAGAGAGACCCTTTTATCTTTCACCACATTATCACAAAATATTTCTTTTTTTTTTAATTTTTATTTATTTATTTATGATAGTCACACACACAGAGAGAGAGAGGCAGAGACACAGGCAGAGGGAGAAGCAGGCTCCATGCACCGGGAGCCCGACGTGGGATTCAATCCCGGGTCTCCAGGATCGCGCCCTGGGCCAAAGGCAGGCGCCAAACCGCTGTGCCACCCAGGGATCCCCACAAAATATTTCTTAACCATGATTAACTGCTCTAGGCATGGTCCTACTTAAGGCTTGATGATAGAAAGGTATTTTCCTCCTTAAACATAGAGTCTTAAGAATACCAGATTCTTCTATAGTTTTCCCTCCCTGCTAAAAAAACAATACAAAACAAAACAAAACAAAGCAAAACAAAAAACACACACACACAAACAAAAACAACAAAACCAAACCAAACAAACCAGAACATGCTTTTAAACATGGTAAATTAACATCAGTCTCCCTGCTTCTCCCTCTGCCTATGTCTCTCCTTCTCTCTGTGTGTCTCATGAATGAATGAATGAATGAATGGATGAATAGAATCTTCAAAAAAAAAAAAAAACATGGTGCATTGGTGTCCTTTATTTCTTAGGAAGTCCTGAAACATGCCATGACCTGGATGGGGGTGACGGAACGCTTCTCCTCCACTCCTCTGGTTTCCGTGGGGGAAGGATTACTCCCTACACCCCAGGGAGGGTGGGATGCGACGTGATTGGTGGGCTCGGCAGCAGGAAGTGCGTCCCTGTAGCTTGTCCCGCCTCTTCCTCTTCCGCGTGCAGCGCTGCTGGGGAGGTCATGGCTGCCGTGGGGCCTCCGCCCGGGTGCGCTGGGCGACGTAGGGCCCGCCTCCGGGGGCGCCGGCCTGGCCCGGGACCCTGTGCACGGAGTCCCTGAGCCCCGCCGCCCGCGACGCGCCCTCCTCCGAGCGTGCCACCCCTCCTCGAGCGTTCTAAGGAAGCCCTGACCCGCCCCTGCGGCCCCGCCTCGTCCGTAGGTGCAGCACCACCAGGACGATCCTCCTTGTTTATTCGTTGGGGAGTCACTGGGACTCCGCTTCCTCGGCTGTAAACAGAAACGACGACGGCCACTGCCTGAGCTGCCATGAAGATGGAGTAAAAGCAGGTGTGAGGCGCGCCGTGTGCACGGGCTGCTGGAGGCGGCCTGGTAGCAGCGGCCCTGAGGATGCGGACGGGGCCGAGCCCACGCACCACCTCCTCCTCGTGCGCGGGGACTCATTCTTCCGCGTGGGATCCGGAGGAGTGGGGGACAAACGACCTCACGGCGGTGGGGAAGACGGCAGCGGTGCTGGCGAGGAGGCTGATGACGGACACGATGCAGATGATGGCCGTGGCTCTCAGGATGTGCGCGGCGATCACGAGTCACTCTGCCCGTCACTCTGCTCCGCGTCTCTTGCACATTTCTCTTGGCGCCCCCACGGCCCTGCAGGGTGGGAGTCATGATCCCCTGGCGCAGGAGGCACTGGGATTCTGGGCGTTTGAGAAGTGAAGGACCAGGACACCAGCCTCTCCCAGTCAGATGGCAAAACCTGGCTTGTTTCACTGCACAGAAAGCAACGTCAGCTCCGTATAGAAGACCCGGGAGGAGGAGAATGTACAGTAGTAGCATCATTAAAACCAATAGACCAATTAGGTATTTAGAAATACCCAACTTGGGGCGCCAAAGTGGCTTGGTTGGTTGGTATCTGAATCTTGATTTTGGCTCAGGTCATGATCCCAGGGTTCTGGGATCGAGCCCCATGTTGGACGCCCTGCTCAGCAGGGAGGTTTCAGAGGTCCCCCTCCGCCTGCCCCCACGCCCCTCCCCCACTTGTGGGCTCTCTCTCTCTCTCTCTCTCTCTTAAATCAATAAATAAAATATTTAAGAAAAAAAAAAAAAACAACCTAGGGGTGCCTGGTTGGCACAGTCGGGTGGGTGTCTGACTCTTGATTTCGGCCCAGGTCATGATCTCTGGGTCCTGGGATGGAGCCCCAAGTCAGGCTCTGCGCTCAGCATGGAGTCTGCTTGAGATTCTCTTTCCCTCTCATTCAGCCCCTCCCCACACTCTCTCTTGCTTTCTCTAATAAATCTTTAAAGATGAATAAGTAAAAATATCCAACCTTGTGGAGAAGATAACGGTTACTTGTTCTCTGTGAGTAGCAGGTATGATCAACATTCTTCTCTTTTTCCTTGCTTTCAATATTTTTCCAGAATTATTAATACCTATGGTCATTTTTATACATGTACACATATTTCTACAGTTACATTTGTTCAAAAGCATGTATTGCAATAATTTTCACACATGAAAGCAAAAATAGTTTCTTATACTACTATGTTTTATATGTTGTGATAAACTATTTTTAAGTGACTTTGAAATATAGCTTGAAGACTTACATTTTCTTGTTTCGAAAGAATCCTCTGGTATAATTCATCATCCGACTTCTTTTTAGGAAGAAGATCCAGGAGGCACATTTTAAAAATCTGAATAAACATCTACTGCCACGGAAGGAGACATAACAAAGAGAAACGCTTAGAAATGGGTATCTCCCCTTCCCTCCCTCCCTCCCTATCTATTCACATGCACATACATTTTTGCTATAGGAAAATATATCATTATAAATCATGACAATAGCCTATAATGGACTGTATTTTCATGAAGCCTCTAAGGAAAAATGCTTCACTTCTTTTGCTTTTTGTCTATTTATTCAAGAAATCTTCATTAAGTGCCTACTCTGCCATTCCTTCTGTGTTCCCTACAGGAGTCAAGGAAACCTAAAAGGCAAAGGGGTGATGCTTCTTCATGGGGAAGAATCAGAGGGAGGGTTGTTGGGAACTGAGATGTATAAAGTTGTCCATTCCAGCCTCCTGTCTCGATGGATGGTGTCATCCTCTGAACCAGAAAGGGTCCTCCCATGAGCCAGGACACCTAGGAACGTCCAAGGGTGCTGTCTCCACACCTACCATTCGCCTACTGCAGGACATCTAGGTGTTTCCAGTTAGGGGGCTTTTACGAATAAAACTGCTAAGAATAGGGATCCCTGGGTGGCTCAGTGGTTTAGCGCCTGCCTTTGGCCCAGGGCGCGATCCTGGAGTCCTGGGATCGAGTCCTGCGTCGGGCTCCCGGCATGGAGCCTGCTTCTCCCTCTGCCTGTGTCTCTGCCTCATTCTCTCTCTCTCTATCATAAATAAATAAATCTTTTAAAAAAACTGCTAAGAATATCCACATACAGGTTTCTGTGTGAACATAAGTTTCTCTAAGGTAAATGCACAAGAGTGCAACTGCCGGGTTTTGAGAGAAATGGACTGTTTTTCAGTGTGGCATGCTACATTCCCGCCAGCAATGCATGCAGGATCCAGTTTCCTCCCACCCTCACCAGCATCTGGTGGTGTCACCATTTGTTATTTTGGCCACTCCGATAGGTGTATAGTCATATCTCATTTTTTTAAAACATACCTCATTGTTTTAATTTGCATTTCCCTGATGGCTAATGCTGTGGAACATTTTTGATCTGATTTTGTGTGTGCATTTTCCTCCCGGCTGTATATCCTTTTTGGTGAAATGACTGTTCATGGCTTTTGCCATTTTTCTGATTGGATTGTTTACTTCTTTGTGAGGTTTGAGTGTTCTTTATATGTTCTAGGTGGGAGTTCTCTGTTGATACACGGCTTGCAAACCCCCTTTCTCCCCATCCTCTTAACAGGGTCTTTTGTAGACCAGAAGTTTTATATTTTGATGGCTATATTATATATAATTACATATGCTATATATAATATATAATTACATATATTATATATTATAATAATAATTATATATTATTTAAAAACTGTATTTTATTAGTTTTCCCTTGTGTGGGTCACCCCCTCAGTGTTAAGTCGAAGAAAGAACTCTTTGCCTAGTTCGAGATCCTGAAGATTTTCTCTTGTTTTTTTTTTTTTTCTAGAAGATGTATAGTCTTGCATCTAACATTTAAGTCTGTGATGCATTTTGAGTTCATTTTTGCATGACGCAGAGGTTCAGCTTAAGGTTCGTCTGTGTCTGCTTCTGGACATCTAATTGCTGCAGTACCATTTCCCGAAAAGCATATCACTCCTCCATTGAACTGCTTCAGAGGTCAGACATATTTGTGTGGTAAGGCACTTTAGTACAGGGCTCAGTAGATGTTTTCCTGTAGATGGCCACATCATAACAGTTCCTGGGTTTGCAGGCCATACTATCACTTTTGCAACCATTGGATTTTGCTGTTACAGCCTGGAGGCAGCCGTGGGCAAGAGTCAAGAACAGGCATGGCTGGATTTACATATATATAATCTCATTTGGGGGATACCTGGGTGGCTCAGTGGTTGAGTGCTGCTGGCTCAGGGTGTGATCCCAGGGCCCTGGGATCAAGCCCCGCATTGGGCTCCCCATGGGGGAGCCTGCTTCTCCCTCTGCCTGTGTCTCTGCCTCTCTCCCTGTGTCTCTCATGAATAAATAAAATCCTTTTAAAAAATCTCATTTGGTTTTTACAGCACACAGGACATTGGTACAATCTTCCCCACTTTACAGACAAGGAACTCTTTAGCTGAGAAATCTGGGTAACTGGCCCATGAGCGACAGAACCCAGAACTTTCCTTATGCTTGTCAGTGCTAACGAGCTCTAGGAACACAATGACATCCTGGCTTTCTACTCACTGAAGTTGAGACCACGTAAGGTAACATTCGTATCTCGAGATGTTGGTCTCAAACCCATTTTCTTTTTGACCCCAGACTGAATCAGTGATGTGCACAGGTCTTGTCTCAATCTTCAATTTAAAAAATTTTTCATTTGGAAAAATTACAAGCTCAGGAAAGTATCAAACCAGTACAGAGTCCCATGTGTTCTTTCCCTGGGTGACCTGGGATATCACTTTAGTATAATATCAAATCCCAAAACCGTCACTGACATTGGGCTGATGCAGTTTACTACAGACTTCACTCAGTTCCACTGATTGTCACATGTACTGGTGTGCATGTGCATGTGCATTTCTGTGCAACTTTACCCCAAGTATGGATTCATGCAATCACTGCCACAATCAAGATGGAGAATGTCCCGGCACCAGGAGAATCCCCTAGGCCTAATGATCCTTCTCTTGACACCTCCCTCAACACACACATCCCCTAATCTGTTCTCATCTCTATCATTCTGCTTCCAATGCTGTCAAATGCAGCTTCTCTCCACCTCCTGACAAGCCCAGTGCCAGCTTCTCCCTCCAAGGCCACCAGGGAGCTCTGAGCTCCTGGGCTGCATGACGGTCACATCTGGTCTGAGTCACTTTTATTTTTTAATTTGTTATCAATGTATAGTGGACACACAGTATTAGGGTAGTTTTGGCTGTACAGCACAGCAATCCCACAGGTCTGCGTGTGATGCCATCTGCAATCTGAGTCACATCTGAACTGACCTGTGGTGACAGATATCTACCAGAGAAATGGATCTTAAGGTCTCCATGAGAGCTTGTGTGTTTCGACAGGTCCTGCATAGTGAAGATACACCCCGCAGGGAGGGAAAGGCCACCCAGGGAGAGCAGGCCCCACGGTGCGGTGGCGTCAGTAGGCAGGGGGCACATGTCTATGGAGTGCCTGCTGTATGTTCAGGCACACAGACCTTGCACTCGGACAGACCTCACTCGGGTTCTGTGTCTGCCACTCACCAGCTGTGCAATTTTGGACAACTGACTCAACCTCTCTCAGTCTCTGGTATTTTGTGATTGAAAAATAGCTGTAAGGCTTAATTGAGATCAGATAGTTAGAGTCTTAGCCTCGGAGAGTATGTGTGCTTAACAAGTGGTGCTGTGATGATGCTGGTCACACAGCGCAGCCCAGCAGATCCTGGAGCTCTGCCTATGGAGACCCTTCGAAGTAGGACAATTTCACTTCCTAGTAACTCTATGGGATAAAAGCTGAAAAACATTATCTTTATTCCTTTCGGAAAGTGGCCCAGAGAGGGGAAGTGACTTACCTAAGGTCACACAGCTCATACGTGTGGGAGGCTGGACTAGAACCCAAGTCTCTGACTCCTGGTCTAGAGCTCCTTCCCCAGGTTCCAGCTTATGTGTCTCCCTCCGGGAAGCCTGGTCATCTCCCCCACTCTCACTCGGTCTCCCCTTACACATGCTTACGGCACCGAATTGTTTGCTAGGTCCTGCTGTCTGTCGTGGCGCATTTGTGCCATCTCTCCCGTCCCCCTACCCCCGGAGAGTGGGCTCCAGACAGGTGGGGGCCATCCCTGGGATTGTGCCTGCCAGGGAGGAGAGGCTGCCACAGACCAGATGGGCAGATGAGTGATGGTGGACGCTTTCTCCATGACAGCAGGCTGCTTCCCTGCGGGTATCTGCTGGCTGTTCCAGGGGCGAGGCAGCCAGCACCATGTCACTCGCCAGCTGGATGGGGCTCTGAGCACAGAAACCATCGACCCTCGGGAGCGCAGAGCCTCTGAGAGGACTGCCAGGGCCACCTGCCTGCAAGCGGGTCGGGATGGGGCCGAAAGGAAGCAGGCTGTAGCTGCAGGTGGTACGCTGGGGCCCCCGGATCAGGCTCTGTTTCTGGAGTCCTGCTGGGACTTCTGGTTTCTAGCACTGGCCCCTGTTTAGGAGGGGCCCCTGCTCTCACAGAGCCCTAATTTCTCTTTACTGCATCTGCAACTGGATGTTTATATTTCCAGTTCATAACGAAGCACCTGGTGGGCATGTCTGTCTGTGTCTGTCACTCTGTCCAGCGGCCCTTCTCCCTTGCTCTTTCCAATGGTCTTCCCCTCTATAGGTTTCATCCCTTTTCCAATAATCTGGAAGAAATGATGCCCAGCTGGCCCTGCCGGGGGTTCCGCAGCTGTACTGAGACACATCTCTCAGGCTGCCCCCCTCACCACGTCAATCCAGTGACGACGATTCACCCAGAGACCACATGCATCTGGCAGAGAACAGTCTTGTTCTGCTGCCGTCTTCGGTTTCAACTGCTCCTTCATCCACTCAGGGAACACACACCCATAAAAAGGTACCAGGCTGCCTACCTCGGCTCCCACCTAGGGCCTTATGACTCTGGGCGAGTCCTCTCTGTGCCTCTTTCCTCGTCTGTAATGTGGAAGGATGGCGACACCTGCCTCTCCAGAGTGTGGTGAGGTTCAAAACTAGCCACCTGTGGGACACTCCCAGGGCCTGTACTCAGGAAGCAATCAACAAAGTTAGTGCTATTGTTGTCGCTGTTATCATTCCTTTAAAAATGTTGGCAAGGGGCGCCTGGGTGGCTCAGTCAATGAAGCATCTGCCTTTGACTCAGGTCTCAATCCCCGGGTCCTGGGATCGAGTCCCACGTTAGGCTCCCTGCTCATTGGGGAGCCTACTTCTCCCTCTCCTTTCCACTTGTGCCCTTTCTCACTATCTCTGTGGCTATCTCTGTCTCTGTCTCTCTCTCTTTAATAAATAAAATCTTTAAAAATAAAAATGTTGGTGAGGATGCAGAGAAAGGGGAACCCTCCTATACTGTTGGTGGGAATGCAAGCTGGTGTAGACCCTCTGGGAAACAGTACAGAGGTTCCTCAAGAAGTTAAAACTAGAGCTACCCTACAACCCAGCAATTGCACTACTAGGTATTTACCCCAAAGATACAAATGTAGTGATCCAAAGTGGCACCTGCACCCCAATGTTAATAACGGCAGTGTCCACAATAGCCAAACTGTGGAAAGAGCCCAGATTTCCATCCACAGATGAATGTGAATATATATAATATATAACATATATTATTAATATATACTACGTAATATATGATGTATATATACAATGGAATATTAGTCATCAGAAAGAATAAAATCTTGCTCTTTGCAATGACATGGGTGGAACTAGAGAGTATTATGCTAAGCAAAATGAGTCAGTCAGAGAAAGAAAATTATATGATCTTACTCACAAGTGAAATTTAAGAAACAAAACACATGAACATAGGGGAAGGGAAGGAAAAATAAAATAGATACATCAGAGGGGATAAACCGTAAGAGATGCTGGACTCTAGGAAGCAAACTGAGGGTCGCTGGAGGGGAGGTGGCTGGGAGGATGGGGTAACTGGGTGATGGGCATGAAGGAGGGTACATAATGTGATGAGCACTGAGTGTTCTATGCAGCTGATAAATCACTAAATTTTACCTCTGAAACTAATAATATGCTATATGTTAAACTGAATTTAAACAAAAAAATAATAAAAATGCTGTCTTTTTTTCACAGTACCTTCCACCTGTCTCCATCAGGAGGTGAACCCTGGAAGGAGGCTCTCATTTTTCTGCCTAAGCCCACAGCTTTCAGTAAAGTAGAGCCTGTGCCCCATCCACAGGCACAAATTGCTTCTGTTTTGCTTCCTGATGCCTAATGCCCTGACCGTTCCTGTCACATTGGCTCCAATGTCATTGGCACCCATTTCCTGAAGGCACGCAGGACTCAGCGCCCACAGAGGGCAGCATTTGGAACCCAGGGAAGGGAGAGCCAGACACTTTGACCACCTACCATGTGCTTCTCTTGCCGCAGTGCCGTGTCCAGATGCAGCAGATCTTTTAGGTGAAGGTTGTAGATACATAAGTCAAGGTCCACACTGAAAAGTCGAAAGAGAAACAGAAAGCCATTGAGAGTCCTCGAGGCAGGGAGTGGGGTTGCAAAGTCTTCTCAGTACAGACATCAGTGCACCCTGACTCCAGATGTGCAGAGATGCCCAACAGCCGCCCCAAGTTCATACGAAGGAATCAAGGCAACTATTTGAAACTCACTTGTGACCAGGAGGGAGCAGCTGCCCGAGACATGAAGGGCAGGGGGCAGCAAGAGTCGAAGGTGGGAGAAAAGAGAGTTAACACCCCTTCCCAGCATTGTTGTGTCTGTGTCACATGTCATGCCCATTTCACAGATGCAGAAACTGACTTAGGAAGTCAAGAAGTGGTGGCACGGTCACAGGGCAGGTAAGTGGCAGGGCGGACTTGACCATTTGTCCTGTGTGGGCAAATGCACTTTGAATGGCTTCGCTCCCACCCAAACTGTGACAAGTTCACTAAGTTCCAAAGCTCATTGACAGCCCTTCCCAGCCAGCAGGCTGAGCCACCATCAGGGCCAGCACCGAGCTTAGGGCCCTCTCCTTCCATAGCCCTGAGCTGAGGCAGGGCCACTTGGACTCACCAAACTCCACTGAGCAGAGGTCTGAGGACTGACGCATAGATGTGCGGACTCAGTTTCTCAGACCTCTCCAGTGTGCTGAGTGGTACAGTGCTTTAGAGAATGGGCTTTGGAGATAAGGTCAGACAAGCTCCATCATTCATCTGCTCTGTGACCTTGGGCAAGTTACTCAGCCTCTCTGTCTCTTTTCACTCTTTGTAAGATGAGGGCAATAATAGACCTACTGCATATGGTCGATAAATGGAATTAATTCATTGATCGATTAATTTTTATGCCTCTGTCACTGCACTTGTCTTAGGCTCCTACTGTGCAATGAGGACACAGCAGGGAACAACACAGACTCCGTCATACTCAGGAGATAATTAATCCCTGCAAAGTGCTCAGTACTCTCCCCAGTACACAGAAGACACCTAATCAGTGCAAGCTACTCCTATGCAGTACCCAGGGCACATCAGTGATTCAAGAAGGCCCCCTAATGGGTCTCTCCCCAGGGCTCAAGCTTGACTCCAAAACCCTCACATTGGTCAAAATGACTTGGTAGCTGGCAAGCTCCAGCTTGGATGCCCTGTGGCTGTGTGTCCATGGCTGACTCACTTAGGCTCTCTGGGCCTCCATTCCCAGCACAGACAGTGCTGTGGACCACTGGTCGGCTTCCCTGTGCCTCCCCCTCCTCACCTCTCACAGATCAGCACCTCGGGGAAGCTGTTGACCTGGACGAAGGTGCGGCTCAAGAACCTGTCGTAGCTGGTGGCCGAGTGGATGCTGGACGAGGAGCTGCAGTCCTCCTTCTCCGCCTGGCTCAGGCTCCCCAGGCTGCTGGAGGGGGACGCCTCCACTGGCTGGTTTGGCAAGACAGCCTGCTTTAAGTTCTCGTGCAGAGAAGGGTTGGAGGAACCATCGGCCAGCGGCTGAGCGGCAGGAGAGAAAACCCACTCAGTCTGTGTGACCTACTGTGTGACTTTGCTTCAGTGATCCCACCAGTGATCTGGGACAGTGGTCCCAGGGGGGCCCAGGCAGGGGCAGACAGGGTGGGGCAGGTGAACAGATAGAGTTTCTGTCCCAGGGTCCCACCCATGCCCCAGGGTCCCATGTCATGGCCCCTGTCCCCAGGAGGCCAGGCCCTGTGCAACAGGTACCTACCTCTTAGCTGATCACCATGGCCTGTTCCCTGCAGGCCTACCTGCTCCCCACAGTCCACCTGCCTCCCCACCTCTCCCCCCACCATCTCAGACCTCTGCGTGTGCTTCTCTGCCCACCTGCTGACCACTACACTGACCCCACATCACCTTCCTGACCCCAGGCCTGCCAGCTGGCTCCCCACTGCCCTAGCACAGGCCCCAAGCTCCTTATCAAGGAGCTCAAGCCCCACACACTACCATGCCCACGCGAGGTCACAGCCTAGCGCCTGCCACATCTGGAAGGCTCAAGAAACATCAACTGCCACCTCCATCCAGCCTGTCCTGCTGTTCCAGGATATGCCTGCCCAAGTAGTACTCAGCTGGCTGCCAGCTCTAAGCCTCCCCTGGCATTTCAAACTTCTGGGCCTTTTGAAACTCTGGTCCCCTTGCCTGGAACAGCCCTCACTCACTGTCCACCGGGCTGAAGCGTCTCTCCCTCCGGACAGACCCAGAGCCTTCCCTCCCTTGTAGCTGGGCCCAGCCCACTGGCAGCTCCATGGGCCTCTGGTTATTTCTATCTTGCCCGTTCTCACATATCATCCCACAATCTCTGCCCAGACCGTGAGGGCGTCCAGGGTAAGGACGATGCTGTCCTGACCACTGGATAATCTCCAGTGCCCACCAGGAGCCTGCCTGGCAAGGGGTGTGGATAAGGAATAATATACTCAGTCTGGTGGTTTTGTCCCTTCAACCACCCACCAGATCGCTAAGTGAATGGAGTGGTCCCCAGTACATGTTCCCAGGAACCGTTCCAGTTACTGCTCCCCGTAATAAGGGTTCCACAGAAAAATTCATTTGGGAAAGTCTGTGTTAAGCAAGCTGAAATAATTTCTTTGGTGCAGGACTTTGCAGAGCCTGGCTCCGGTCCCTTCAGAAGCAAATGATAATTGAAAAAACTGAATGAACACTGAGTGCTCGGATGTCACACACCATTCTAAACCCTATGTCTATTATCCCCTTTGACCCTCAAAGACCTGGGGGAGGCAGGAGGGCCCATCACCTCCATTTCCAGATGAAGAAATAGAGGCCGAGTCAGGAAATGGCCCACAGAATATGGTAGAGATGGGAATTAGGACAGAGTCTGCGTGACTCCAGAGCCTGTCCTCTCGATGGCCAGGAGGAGTGGACAGCACATCCCTCAAGTACCAGACCAGGGACTCTTTCCTTCATGGAGAGTCTCACAGGCCAATGGCTCCTCAAAGCACCATGGGATCTACTGCTGTCTGCAGAACTCCTGATCATAGGAATGAATTCCCGGCTTCAGGGGGAAGACCCACCAGGGGACCTCTGGCAGGTCATTAGCCTCCCTGTGCCTCAATTTCCTTATGTGTAACGAGGCAATGACAGGGTGATTTACCTGATATAAAATGCCCAACACACGAGAAATGCCTAGCACTGTGCCAGCCTCGCAGGATGTGTTCAGTAAGGTGGAAGGGGGGTCGGTGAATGAGGAGCAATGCTAAAACCGTGTCAGTGCTGGTATTTGTATTTGTCTAGAACAGAAGGACACAGCCCAACTGTGCTGTCACCTGGGGTTCTGGGAATACCTTGCTATACCCTGTCCCATAAAATACCTTTTATGACAATGCTGTCATAAAGTGGATTCATCCTAAAGTCTTGCTCCATCAGGAAGCCTCAAAGTTATCCCTCTTAAGATGACTTGCTGTAAAACCCTCAGGCAGAACCAAAAATCACACACTTAATCTGCCCACTCATACCCCAATCACTAGGAACAGTATTGAATGATTGTATTTCTAAGATGGAGCTGAGGACTCTTACCCGGAACTTCTGATTGATGGGATAGATGACTTTTGCCTTCAGTGCAAATGCTGTGATGTTACTGTTGAAAGATGGCTCATATTCCTGGGAAGAAAGAACAAATGGCATGGGTGCTTTCTGTAAAATGAAGGATACACCACTAAGAGTTACCAAAATGCCACATCCATTTGTAACAGTGGCCTCAGGAAGGGACCATAACAGGCACATTTAGGTCCAAGGTACTCACTTGCTAGATGGATGGGTGAATGAGTGGAGGGATGGAGGGTGGGAGGGGTGGATGGATGGATGGAGAGGAAAATGGATGGATAGATGAGTGGATAGGTAGATGGAGAGGTGGATGTATGATAGATGGACAGATGGACAAATGGGTAGATGGATGGATGGATGGACGAATGAATGGATGGGAGGATGATGGAAAGGTGGATGAATGAATGGATGGTTGGATGGTTGGACAGCACATTATTTAATTCCAAGTCTCCAGCTTTGGAAGAAATAAGTAATTAAATAGCATGACAATAATTAATGAGTTCTCCTAAAAATTGCGAACCACTTTAGTGGAAAAAAGGAAACACAGAATAGTTTTAGCATTGCCAAAGGTGTGAACACTTCCACAAGGCAATACTCATTCACACAAGACCCTGGATCAGACCCTTAAAGGAAAAGCAGTTGGGCAAGTCTTTTCACTTCTCTGAGCCTCAGTCTTCCCAGACAGAAAACAGGCACCATACTGCCCCCAGACCGCGTAAAGCACCCAGCAGAGTAGCTGGAACAGAAGAGAAGCAAAACAATGGGCAGCTCAAAGGAATGGTAGGAAGGAGCCTCCTCTGACCACAGCTGGACAGACTTATTCACAACTGCTCTACATTCCATCCTTCCTGTATCTCTCTCTTGCCACGGCCACCCCTGCACTTTGCCAGGTGGGTGTTGAATGAATGTTCTGGGAACAACCTGCAAGTGATGATGGCAAACAGGCAGACAAGTCAGGAACCTGGCACTCCAGACCATGGGAAATCCCTCCTCATCAGTTCTGAGCAAACTGATGGATGAAAATTGCACCCACGTCTACTTCAATACTTTTCAACCACACCTTTCTGAAGAAAGAGCTCCACCACAAATGGCTATATCCAGTTGCCAACTTGGCATAAGATGGGGGCACTACAGAAGGATTTATCACTTCCTCTTGATGCAGACATTGAAGCAGCACATGACAGAGCCAGCGTGTGGCCCAGGGACATCTCCAGAGGGGGTTTCACCACGATGCCCTTCTGAACAGGACATGGATGCCACATGGCAAAGGCTAGGTCTTGTCACTTCCTTCTGTACTTTATGACTCACAAAAACAGACCTAGATGTCAAGAATGGGGCAGACCACCAACATGTGCCACCTCCTTCCACTTCTGAGGGCTCCATCACAGAGGCTACTGTCTCCATTTCCCAAGAGGGGACAGGTGACACAGAGCAGTTAAGCCATGTGCCCAAGGTCACATAGCTCACAAATGCCAGAACTGGGATTTGAGCTCAGATTCCCTGACTCCAGAGTCCCTCCTCTTTAGCTGACACCTTTCTGTGTCCTTCAAGATTGTGCAAATAAGAACGGGGGTGAGAGCAAGGAAGTTAAACGGGGAGTGGGTGTTTGGTTGAGAAGACTCCTGGACTGGCCATACCATGCTCCTGAGAACACAGGTCAGATCCAGTGTCGCTCCCATACCCCAACCTTCCATGTAAAGTCAACCACAAATCCCACCAGCTTCAATTCCTAAATGTCACTCACACCCATCGTGCTGGACTAAGCCACCACACAGGGCTGCAGAGCCCCCAAGCTGGCTTCCATCTGTGCACTGAGTGCCTACTGTATGCTGGGCTCTTTCTGCACTCTTGTTCATGTAATCATCACACAACAGCCAGCTCAGGGAGATCCATATGATTTCCATCCTATTTCAGGGATCAAGGCTCACCCAGTTAACATCTTCCAATTTGTTCTCTATATGGCAACCGGATGGTCTTTGAAACATGAAATCCCCATAATGGCCAGCTTCAAACCCTTCTTGGCTTTGCTGTGACTCAAGGGAGGAGAACATGGCCTGTCCCAACCCCCAGCACCTAGTTCTAATCTCTGCTTGAAGCTGTGTGGGTACAAAAAGCAAAGGGTGGTGGTAAGACAAAAAGGTTGCCTTCAGAACAGGTTATATAATTTGTGAGACCCAATACAAAATAAAAAGGGGGGGGGGTTGCATCTGATTAAAATATGATTAAGAATTTTGGGACATGGGGCACCTAGGTGGCTCAGTGGTTGATGCCTGCCTTTGGTTCAAGTTGTGATTCTGGGATTGAGCCCCCCATCAGGCTCCCCCTGGGAGCTTGCTTCTCCCTCTGCCTTAGTTTCTGACTCTCTCTCTCTCTGTGTCTCTCATGAATAAGTTAAAAAAAAGATTTTCGGGACAGCAGAGTCCAGAAACCAGAGGTGGGGCCCTGACTGAGCATACATCCTGTGCGGCTGTGCAGGCGGGACGCCTGGGATGCCAGCCCTGGTTGCTTTCCAGTGGAGACTCACCTGCTCGAGCAAAGCTGGGAAAGCAGAGGGCAATGTATCTTGCTAACCTTACAAACAGAGGTGAAGAGAGAGCATAGCATGGAAGGAGCAGAAAATGAGAGGAAGATGTGGTCTCTACCCTCTAGGGGAGATAGAAAACAAAAACTGCACTTCATGTGGAAAACATAATTAGAAGAACAGGATGTAGATGCTGGGTCCACCTGGGATGTGTGGAAGCAGAACCCGGCCATGCACGTCAAAGCATGAGCCCAGCTGACACAGTACTGCAGTGTTATGAGGAGCCTGTGGCCGCATATGCGTTTCCAGCCCGTCCACCTGCAGACTGCAAGCCAGTGAAGGACTGAGGACTGACACTCTGATGGTCATGGTGTTTGTCAGGAAGAAGGACCTGGAAGCACTTGGCACATAGAATCTGCGAATGAATAGACTTCTGCTGTTCTTAGGTTTTTTGTTTTTGTTTTTTTTCCAGCTTTTCTTATTAAGTTCAGATGCCTTCCAAATTCAGATAATATTCTCAACCGTAGCAATACAATTATACAGAAAATTGGTTGTAGCGCAAGTCTACAATGTAGAACTTCTTCAGCTGACTTGATGCATTTATTCAGAAAATTAGTGAAAGCATAATTGCAGGAAAAGAAAAGGCCTGTCACTAGCTGACACAGAGGTGTTCTTTCAGTGAGCGCACAGATGCGTCCACAGAGGAACCATCCCCTCTCCAACCGCCAGATGCCAGAGCAAAAGGACAGGGATGAAGAGAGCCAAGGCTGTGTCGTGGCACGCTGAAGAGCCTTCTGGAACATTCTGTGTGCTTTCGACTGACATGAGCTATTTATCAAGATAAAGTTCATGCAAGGAGCGGTGTGAACCACGAATGCCTCAGTTTTCCATGCATTTTGGGGCATCAGAGTTGGAGCTCAGCTCACCCTGTCCGAATCGGGCCTGGCCAACATTCCTTGACAAGCTGGGTGTGCAGAAGGCAGGGCATTTTGGCAAGCAAGTCACTGGAATAGGCAGATCTTCAACTTAACTCTTGGCAATCATTAGCTTGGTCAGGGGCATCAGTTGGCATAGCTAAACGGTTAACAGGTAAAACATTACTAGGTAAACACACGAGTGGGGCTGGTGGGGAAGCAGAACTCGGCTCCCCTGTGGGCACTGACAAACACTTGTCCTATAGTTGGCCAAGCTGTGGGCGACCCTGGGGACAGCATCATTACTGTCACCGTGAAGCCGAGAAGCCAGAGGCTCAGATAGGTTGTCTCTCACCCACCATCACATAGCAAACAGGTGACAGGGCTGGGTTCCTGGGATCCAGGGGACAGCCGTGCCCCCCCACCCCAAGCCAGTGTCTTTTCACCATCTCCAGGGCCACCCCCCCACCCCAAGCCAGTGTCTTTTCACCATCTCCAGGGCCGCCCTCTGTGTGAGCGGGGTTGTGTCCATGCTTTACCATGTAAAGCATGCAATTTAGTAATTTCCGGTCTATTCCCAGATAAGTGCAGCTATTCCCGCAATCAATTGTAGAAAACTTCTATCGTCTCAGAAAGAAACCCCACACCTGTTAGCTGTCCCCTCTATCTCTCCTCTATCATCCCTACCCAAGCAAGCCCCAGTCTACTCCGTCTCTGTAAATGCACCTGTTGCAAACATGCCACATGAATGCGATTCTATAATACGTGGCCTTTTGTAATCGGCTTCTTTGAGTTTGTGTGAGATGTTCAGGGTCCCTACATGTGGTAGCATGTTTCAGGACTTCTTTCCTTTTTATGGTCAAAGAGTATTCAGTCAAATGGATAGAGCACGTTACGTTTAGCCACTCATCAGCTGATGGACATTTGAGTTTCCATGTTTTGGCTGAAGAGGGCTGTTAGGAACACAGTGTGCATGTTTATGTTTTTCTGTAGCTGTATGTTTCCAATGCTGTGAGTAGGGTTTTGATAACACAGGATAAAAGGGACAGAAGGAGACAGATGAGAGAAAGAGAGACATCACACACCCACCTGTCACATGAACACACAGAGATGCCCGTGGAGAGAGACGAGAGAGAGAGAGAGAGAGAGAGAGAGAGAGAGAGAGAGAGATACACAGAGCCGCCCCAACACACACACACTGCAGACACATAGGGGGAGACAGGCACTTAGGGACAGAGGCAGGGAGCACGAGCTGGATACATAGCACCTCCTTGGTGCCTGGGGCTTGCTCCTGCTCCAGCTCCAGCTCCCATGAGGGCAGCCAATCTTTCCACCAGGCTGCATAAGGGAAGCCTGCCTCCAGAATCCTCAAGAAGAAGATATAAATAAGATCTACCCCGTGGGGCTGCTGGGAGAGATGCAGGGGGTAATTCACCTGAGTGTGCACATCACTCAAAAGTGACACATGTGAAAATGCCTGGCACTCAGTAAGTGCTAAAAAAATAAAATAAAACCTTTCCCAATTTCTCAGGAACCCTCTAGTGGTCTCTCTCTCTCTCTACCTGCCTAAATATCTATATTTACCTTTAGATAATTGAGGCTACATGACCAGGATCCACGGTAATAGCACACTTTTGGAAGAAATGCCCTTTCTCTCTCCACAGAGCTCACACACAGAGTGATGCCCTATGGGTGGGCTCAGGCTGGACAAGGTAGGGGCCAGTGAGGAAGGGACAAGGAGAATCCCACCTTTAACATGTCCATCAAGAGGCTCACAGCCCGCACTCCTGCATATTTACTTAACATTCATTTAGAATAAATAAAACAAAACGGAAACAAGTAAACTTATACACAAACATTCGCAGAAGCCCTACTCAGTGTAGCCAGACATGGGAAAGAACCTCCACTGTAATACCACAGTGGGCTGAGCAATTAAAAGGGATGGATTACTGATGAGTGCAACAACATGAGCAGTCTCAAAAGCAGTTTGTTGAGGCAAGGTCGGCACAAGAAAGTGCACGTGAAATTCTAGAACAGTAAAACCACCATGGTGATGGGAATCACAGCAGTGGCTACTTCTGGAAGAGGCAAGGTGTGGGACCGGGGAGATGAGGGGAGGGTAAACCAGAAAGAGGCACTGGGAACTTTCTGGGGTGATGGAACATTCCAGATCAGGGTATTGGCTACCAGAGTGGATATGCTCATCAAACTATAAACTTAAAATTTGTGTATTTTGCCGTATGCAAATGATACTGCAGAAAAGCAGCCTCTTGGGACACGACATCTGTCAGAGGCTCATCTGGATGGCATCTGTGCTGCTAGGTGCGGCATATGACCCCCAACATGTGACACAGCAAAGAAACCCAAACGTGCAGCTTACGTCCACAGCCTCCTCCTTTGACATCTGTGCTTCTCTCCTCCTCCTCCTGGATGGGGAGCCGGTTTCCGACGGGTCCTGTATGTGAGACTCTAAATTCTTGAGCAGACTCTGAGTATCGTCTTTCTAAAATCCAAAGGTGGAGGTGGGGAAAACACAGGAAAGCTGGTCAGCCTTGCACCCCATGACTTGAGCCATCCACCCCCGACCCGACACATGCTCATCTCTGTGCCTCCACCTGGCCCTCCCTCTGTGTGCGGCCTCCTGCCTCCCACCCCCCTGGGGCCAGCTACACAGCCCTAGAGACCATCCAGGAGTCAGCTTCCTGAGAAGCCCCCCTGGCTCCCTGCCTCAGGATGTCCTCAGGACCTGGAGGTCATACTTGGATCAAAGGTCACTCCATTGTTTCTTCTGAGCTGGTGGCTCCTGGGTAGCCTGATGGGGGGGGGGTTACAGCTGAACACAGGAAATGGTACATAAATCTTAATTTTCTTGCTCTTTCCCATAACACCATTGGATGACTTTAGGTACCCTTAAATTATAGAATGGTTTGTATCGGGAACCCTGATCTTTGTTATCGGTAGACTCTGTGCTTGTAAATTTGCTCACTTGCCGAAATGTATTTGTAACCCCAAAATCTACACTTGTGGTACTTTTGTGGTCACTCCTGAGCATGTGCAGAGTGGCGAAAATTCGAGCTGCTTGACGTGCCATGTCCAACAGAGACTGAGCAAGGGCACCCCGTACCTTTCTGTGTCAGGTCTTGCATCGCAGACAAGTGTCCCTTCCATGTTCTGTTAATGCCATTATTTCCCCACATTTCTGTGCTTTCTGTTGCTAATGTGGTTATTTAAAATGAGCCCAAGGCATAGCGCTAAGTGATGTGTGGTGTTCTTAGGACCAAAAAGGCTGGCGTGCGCCTCATGGAAAAATGTTTGTGTGTGATAAGCTTCATTCGGACACAAGGTATGGCACTGTTGGCTGCGCATTCACTGTTAGTGCATCAACAATATGTATTACACAGGGTGTCTATAAACAGAAACACACACAAAACAAGGTTACGTATTGGCCAGCTGTGTTTCCCCTAGGAGCAATGATTTGGCATTTGCGAATTCTCTGTTTTCCATGACTTTGTAGATCATAATGATACCAGAGACCCTGATGAAGCCCCTCTTATGGCTGCTCATGGATATAATCTTTACACTGATGAAATACAGCCTTTTGTCATCCAGTTAGTCAGCAACTGTTACAAAGCAACACTAAGTGTCAAGGTTTATTCCAGTCACTGGGAATGGAATAACAAACAAAATAAACAAAGCCCCCACCTTTGTGGAGTTTACATTCCACTGACAGAAGAGAGATGTAAGTAAACATGTAGTAAGTCATGGGTGGTAAGTGCTATAGAAAAAAAAAAGATGTAGGACAGGAGAATAGATGGCAATGGGAGGGGAAGGCCTCTTGGGCAAGATGGTATTTGAGAAGAAATGTGAAGGAAGTGAGAGAGCAAGCCTCTCAGATATGTCAGGGACAAGCTTTCCAAGAGAGGGCACAGCAAGTGCAAAGGCCCTGTGGCAGGAGCACACACAGCATGTCCAGGGAAGAAGCCCTTGTGGCTGTACCAGTCTGGGGTGCAGTGGAGAGGGGCAGATGATGATATTAAGGATTTAAGCATTGTTTGTTTAGCAGTTATACCTGGTCAGTATAAGAGTTCTGCAGGGAAGGACCCAATCAGATCATCCTATAAGAAAGACTCCAAGAGATAAACCTCATCCACCTCACAGGGGAGCATCATTATTTCAGGACCCTTCTACTCTCTGAGGACACAGTGAGAAGTCTGCAGCCTGGAAGTGGGCCCTCACCAGAATCCAGCCGTACTAACACCTGTTTTTGGCTTCCAGAACTGTGAGAAGAAGTTTCTGTTGTTTCTATGTCACACAGCTTATGGTATTTTTCTTATAGCGGTCTGAACAGACCAAGACAGATACCACCATCTACCTCACCAGGTGGCAGCTGACTAAATGCTATGATTCAGGCATTCCGACACACTGGGGTTGAAATCCAGCCCCTCTGTTTATTCATCACGTGACCCTGGACCAAGAACAATGTTGGGGAGCTTTGACCTCCGTACCTGGAAAGTGAGGATAATGACAGCTTCCCCCACTCACAGATTTGTTGTGGGAATACAGAACCAAAAGCCCACAAACCCTCAGCGCACCCAAGAAAGGTCTTGCACGTATTACTTCCCTCTTCACACAAGAAGCCAGTGTCTCACAATGTCCTTCAATCATCAGTGGGATGGGACAACCTCACACGGACCTGCAAGCATCTTGCACTATACTACTTTCATGCAACCTTCATCACGCCTTTCCAGCAAAACACTCCCCTGAAATCAGCGGCAATAAAAAAGACCCCTGCTGGACTTGCCTCCTTCTTGCATGGGCCAGGAATCCAGGGAAAAAAGAGCAAACACTTCATCTCAGATCCTACCAGACTTTATCTCTCAACAAGATCAAAGGAGCAAAGACCCAAGAAAGTGATCACACCACGACTGCTGTATGCCTGCCATCTCCACACAGCATCCAATTCCGTCACAAGGGTCACAGGAAGCATCCATGAATCCCCCCTTCTGTGACCACTGACACCCATGGAGAATGCAGTGACTTTGGGCTGAGCCATACATCTGTCACTTTGGCAAGTCACTAAGAAACCGCACTGTGCCTCAGTTTCCTCAAATGCAAGATGGGGTCATCAACAGAACAAACTCACAAAGCTGTTCTGGGGATTGATGAGATAATTCGGGTAGAGGGTCCAGCTCAATGAGCTGCACACAGTCAGCAACCCCCAAGTGCTAGCTTTATGGGCGCTATTCTTTCCCGTCACCCGACTCACCAGGTTGTGCTACGATTACAAGTTCACTTGAGAGCCACCATTTTCGGGAGGCTGTGAACCTCCAGCAGCAAGAGCAGGCCCGAGGTGTCTCCGGCCCGAGGACGGTGTGCGCTGGCACACTCGTCGCACTTTCACCGCAGGGATGGATGAGCGAATGAAGGCGTGAATGCACGCCAGGGTGGCAGCTGGGTAGCCCCGGGCAGGCAAGCAGCAGATGCGCAGGGGTGGGGATCCCAGCCCTCCGGTCCACCTCGCCCGGCCGGGCCCCTGGGCCAGCAGCGAGTCCAGGCCCTTCAGGCTGCGGATGAGGAGCCTGGGGCCTCGGAGGGCTTGCGAGGCTTCTGTGACCGCGCACAGCGGAGTCGCACGGAGCGGCCACTTCCCGGGGACCCCAGGCCGGTGCGCTCCTGTCGCTGCGCTGCTCCCCCTCTGCACTGGGTCTGCAGCCCCTTCCTGGGCCAGAAGGGAAGCGGGGCAGGAGCCGGTGCGCCCAGCGCCAGCGAGGTCGCTGCAGCGCCGACGGGGCGCTGGAGACCCGCGCGCGCGCCCCTGTCGCCCGCCCCCCGCGCGCCCCCGGCCCGGACCCACCTGGCGCCGCGGGCGCGGCCGGACGGCGCGGCGGCCCAGCCAGAGCCCGAGGCCCAGGCCGAGCGCGGCGCCCAGCAGCACGGCGGGGGCCAGCAGCGCGGGCAGCGGCCGCCCCGCGTCCCGGCCCAGCGGCAGCCGCGCGTCGCTCTCGCAGGCCGCCGCGCCCCGGGCCATCGGGGGCGCTCAGGCGGCGGCCCGGCCGCATCGTCCCCGCCGCCGCGCGCCGCCCCGGCCCGCCGTCCGGGCCGCCGTCCCCGCCAGCTCGGCGCCGGCGGGCCCGCGGCCACGAGCAAACGAGGCGGCGGAGGAGCAGCACGGCCGCCCGCCCCGACAACGCGCTCTCCCTCCTCCCGCCGGGTCCCCTCCCCGGCGCCGCCCCGCCCCGCGCCGCCCCGCGCCGCCCCGCCGGAGGGAGGAGCCTGCACCGGCCGCCCGCCCCTTGGAGGCGCCCCCGCGCGGGCGGGCCCTCGCACTGGGCAGGCCTGGAGAGGCGCGCTCTCCGCCCGCCGGGACCTCCCGAGGAGTCTCCTGGCCTCCAGGCTTCCGCGGAGGGAAGGGGGGCCCAGCCGCTGGTAGGTCCCTAGGGTAAGTGCAGTGCCTTGAGCGTTTAGCATGTGCTGCGCGTGTAGCCTGCTGAGGTCACTAACTTTCTCAAACAGCCCTCTTAGACGGTTCTGATCTCTGCCCATCCTCCGGGTGAGGGTGAGGAAGCTCCGGGTCGGAGCGGCCAGGTGACCTCCTGAGGGTCCGACTCCTGCACCACACAGTGCGCCACCACCTCTGAACTTGTTAGCCTGACGACTCCTCTTTTAATCCCATTCTTCCATGGAGAGTCGACCCTTTCTTCTATGATGCTACGTAGAGAGATGGTTACCCGCAGCCCCCGCTAGGAAGGAAGGAGACATTGCGTGGTTCAGCCTCGTTCGCTCAGCCTTTACAGAGGACCTGCTGATGGAACCAGCACGGGCCAGCAAGGAGCCAGACAAGGTCCTGATATCGAGGATCTCGTGGCTGTGCGGGGAGATAAGCAACCAGGTGAATTCAGCATCTGTTCTCTCCTGGAGCAAACATTACTGAGCAGCTACGGGATGCTAGCTCTGGTCCTGCGTGTCCTGGGGATATGGCAGTGAACACACACACTCATACACACACACACACACACACACACACACACACACACACACACACACACCTTTGGGGCTTAATTCCCCATGACTGCCAAGGCAGGAGTACCACAGGGATCCACTTCAACGGAAAAGGGCCTTTTGTATCTTTAATCTGGATGTTCGGCTTAAGTTTCTAGTTTTTAAATCATCACCTCATCAACCTTCTGGGTGGGCAAGACAGGGCCTATTATCCAGACTTAATTTTTATAGAAGAAGAAATGGACAGCGAGAGAAGAGAAGTTGCTCATTCAAGGTCTGGCAACTAGGAAATGAGACAGGTGTATGAACAGCTGTGTCTGGTTGGCTACAGGGCTCACACCCTCTGCTACACAGGGCTGTTTCATGCTTCCTTCAAAGCATCTCCAAGGCTTCTGGGAATGTGTATGGGATAATAGCCTGAAGCTCTTGCTTTTTATGCTATTTCTTTGGATACTCAGAATGTAGTGTTCTTTGCATTTTACTTCATTATAAAGTTGTTTGTATATTAAAATCATCCTTTGAATGGCCCATGTCAAATAGAACTGACGCTCCAGCAATATGCTAGCATCTAGCCTTTGACCTTGTCTCACTCCTGGCACTCTGCCAGGTACTCCCAGAGCAGTGTACCTCTTGTGGGAAGCCTGGCTAATACATTTTCAGAGTCTCAAACCTCACTGCCTTGTCCATGTTGAGGGAGGGAGGGCCTGTCCTTGGAGGGGTTGGGGGTGAAGGAACTCACAGATGCCAGGCTTCCTGGCCTGAGCCTGCATGACCAGGTGCCCTGCAGAAGAGGAGCCTTCTCCTCAAGGAGAGGTCCCTGACGACTCAGGGGACGCAGGAGGAAGCAGAGAAACTGCTCTCCCTGGTCCTCTCCCAGGATCTGTCTCCTCACCTCCTTGCCTCCCTTGGCAAGGCACAACCCTATCCCCATGAGAGTCCAAGGAGTTTGCTCAGCTGCTGAGCCCTGGCTCCAGACGCCAAATCCCCTCTGGTTCCCCGGAGACGTCCCAGAGTGGCTGGCCTGACAATCTGCCTGCCCTGGAAGTTGGTGGGTACCTGGCCAGGTGCAGGGGCTGATCCACAGCAAGCGCTCAGGCAGCAGGAGGCGAAAGCGGCTGAACTAAATCCAATAGGAAGTGAGAGTGGCCTTTCCCTCTGGCTCCTGATGGGCCAGGCTCCCTCCCAGCCCACCCGTGCTGTCCTGTCCCCTCCGGGCTCTCCAGCACACAAGGCTCTCTGCCTCTCCGAACGCTTCTCGGTTCTCTAATAAGGGGCTGGAGGGTCTGGAGCAGCCTCCGGGTTCAGCCCGGTGTGTGCGTGCGTCAGGGAAGGCTTCCTGGAGGAGGCGGTTCTGAGCTGAGAACTCGGGCAGGCATCCGTGGAGGAGCGCTTGGAATCCCTGAGCTCTTTGGGAGCAAAGGAGTGACGCAAACTGGAGCAATCCCAGTGCCTCGGATCTGGGTGGAGCTGAGGCTCCTGGGCGGGGCGCGAGCAAACCCCAGTGGCCGGGCCGCGCTCCCTCCCTCTCACGCCCGTCCCCTCCCCGCCGCCTCCCCGCCCTCCAGCCGCAGATGCCCGAGTCCGTTCCAGAAAACTTTCCGGGGCGGCTCGCACTGAGCATGCTCCGCGGCGGGGCGGGCCTGGGGTCCGGAAGCTCCGGAGGCTCCGGCGCGCCCGCCGCTGCGGGGTCCCAGGTGCCGAGGGGCGATGGGCTCGGGGGGCGCCGCGGGGCGGGCCACGTGGGTGCTGGCCGGGGGCCTCCTGGCGGCCGCCCTGGCGCTGCCCGCAGGGCCCGGGGCCCCAGGAGGCGGGTTCCCCGCGGGCCCGGGGCTCCTCGAGCGCCCCCTGGGCGGGCAGCGCCCCCCGGACCCCCCAGCGGCTGCCGGTGCGGGGCCCCAGCCGACCGCGCAGGTAAGGAAGGCCGCCCCACCTCCTCCTGTGGCACTGGAGTCGCTGCTTCGTCTACACCCGCGGCGGCGGGAGGCCCCTTCGAGTTAGGGAGATTGGGGGGGTGGGCAGGGTCGGAGCGGGATGCTTCGGGTGTGCCTTAGTGCGTGGCGCGCAGGCCCGCAGCGCCCCAGGGAAGGTGGAGCCCCACGCGGGGCTGTGACCTGTGCAGGGCGAGTCTGTTCTCTTCTTGTGCCTCCGATTCCTGGGCCCTAAGCCTTTGCAGCTTCTACCCCACAGGTGGGTGCGTCTACCCCGCAGGTGGGTGGAGGCTCCGCGCCTTCCTGGAGGCACCGCGCCTTCCTGGAGGCACCGTGCCTGCAGAGGTGAGCACGTCCCCGAGTGTAAGCGGTTTGTTGGAAGAACAGTTGGGATTATTGGCTGGAGTTTTACTGACAGCCCCATCTTGGTCGCTGAATTTCTCCACTTCCCATCAGCCCCTCCCTCTGTGGCCCTAAATTTGGGGAGGCACAGAGCCCTGGCTGTCTCCCTAGATTCCTCCAAAGCTGGCCACCAGTTTTCTGGATGCTCCGGGATGCCTGCAACCCCCATCTCAGCCCCGAGATTCATCCTCACCCCTTAGCCTCTCGCCTTTGGTGACCGCTTCTTCTGGTTCTCCTCCACCCTCTAATTTGTGTTCTCCATCACCCATTTCCCCCCATGGCTGGTGTCCTGGATGGGTGATCTGCCCATGGTGTACCGGTGACCACTTCCCTTCCCAGTCCGCACCCCCTCCCACCGACCCCTGGCAGAGCTAGGATTCTGTTCTTAGGCCTGCCCTGTTCAGTGGCCTCTCCCCTCATTCACTGCCTTGGGGTCCTCCTTATCCTTCCCCAGGGCCCAGCTCCTCTGATCCTGTTGGGTTCTCTACCTGCAGGCCCCAAGGTGCTTGCTACACTTGCTACACGTTTTAAAGCTGTAAATCTCTTAAAGGAGATTCTTTTCATTTTCTATTATTAGGTTTTCATTGAAGAAGACTAAGTAATAACACTATGTCAATTTACTGAGCTTTAAATTTAAATTACACATTTCAAGAGCTTGATGGCCACATGTGTTAGAGGCTGCTATATTGGACAGCCCAGACTATGGAATATCCTCACCGTGGTGGAAAGTTCTATCAGAAGTTTGTTGGAAGGAGAGAAGGCCCGTGAAGGGTTGAGTGGACAAGAGGTTCTGAGTCATCCATTCACTTCCAGTGCTCATGGACGGCTTTCCAGGTGCCAGGCTCAGTTCTGGGTGCCCGGGATATAAGAGAACAAGACAGCCTCTCTCCTTAAGACATCAGCATTCTTAGGGCAGTAGACAGTGGTGCCAGTCTATAACGTAACCAGTCGTGATTTAGGATGCAGAGAGACATAGAGTGGACTGGGAGAGATGGGGATGCGCGCTCTCTAGTCGAGTGGCCAGGGAGGCTCCTCTGAGGAGGTGATAGGTGAGCCGAGCCCTGAGTGGAATGAGAAGGGCAAGGTCATGTCCAGGAGAAGCGCTTTCCTAAGTGCTGTGATAGTGAAGCCAGAGGTCAAGTGTGCTTGGTGTCGTCCAGGACCAGCAAGGAGGCCTGGGGGCCCGCCAGAGGGAGGACAGGGGTGGAAGAGGTGAGGCCAGAAGGGTGAGGAGGGGCCAGATCAGGAAAGGCCCTGTGGCTTTTGCTCAGGATCCCGGCTGTTATTCTGAGTAAGATGGAAGCCTTGTGGGTTTTGAGCCAGAAAGCAGCATACTGTGGCTCATCTTTTTAAAGCACCCCGGTGGCAGGGGTGAGGATAAAGGACAAAGGCAGAAGTGTCAGCAAGAGAGGAGGCAGGTGGGAGACCAGGCCAAGACGGAGGAGTACTGGACCAGGGTGGTTGTTAACGGTGGGCTGCTAGCTGTGGGGTTTCTGATGTATTTTGAAGGTGAAGCCAGTGGGATTTGCTGGGATTGGCTATGAATTGACAGAGAGAAAGAGAGGAGTCAAGGGGAAGCCAAGGCTTTCAGCCTGAGCAAGTGGAAGAATAGGGACACCAGTGGCTAATACGCTGAAGCCTCACGGGGCCATTGGGATTTCTGCTCTGGTCTTGCTGAGTTTGACCAGGTGGCTGTGTA